GTACGCAGACTTTTTCAATTGATTGTAGTACTTAAAGGGAAATTTACTCGTTATTTGTAATTAGATCATCAATTCGCATAAAAAAAAGAAAACAATAAAAGATGATTAAACGATTCTTAAGTCATTTTAAGATAAATGTATGAAAATCATTTCAGTCAAGTTTAAATTATTAACATCATGTCTTTTGTAGCTGCTTGTATTTTAAACAATTCATATGAGGTGACATAAATATAAACACACCCATTTGTACACATATCTTAAGTTTATAAGAATGGTGTAGCCCAGTACTTTGGGTCTTGAATTTAAATAACAAACTTTACCTTTTACTAAGTAGGCAATTCGTTCAAGTTAGGAAATATAGAGCTCTATTTTTAATACCAAAAGGACATTTTATGATATTGCCACTACAGTGTTACTGCATGGTGTTAAGTCACAAAAATACTTAAAATTGTGTTTTTATCTACAGGAAATAAAAATTTAGTTAATTATCAATTACGGAATTGGGCAATGATATTCACTGTAGTTTTATGAAGGTAAAACGTAAATAATAACCAAATTTTTGTGATTAAGATTTAAATATGAATTTTTGACCAAGTTCGAATTCAAGAACCATAGCATTTATTAATTTATTTCTTTTTCATATGTATGTATGTGGTTTAGTATACCATGATTTCAAATTTATTATAAATACTAGTAAGTTTCTACATACACTGCAAAACACCTGAATAACGTGCGTGTAATTTTGGGTATATTCAAATCAAAACGGTATAAAAAACATAATACTCAAGCATATAGTTCCATAATAATTTGATCAATATTAAAATAATGAAACTTTAAAATTAAAGAGATTCTCTAAATTTTTCAATACTTCCGGAAACAAACTTAGCTTTGATATAGCGCGTATGTAGATTGCGATATAAGTATGCGTATGTGTATATAAAGAACAATAAAGAAGATTTTTAGAATTAAAATAAGTTTTCTTTATTTTAAAAAATTTTAGGAAATTTTATAAAATGTAGGTATGTAGGTACTTAGTACAAAATTTAAAAATTTTAGCGTTGAAAAAGCCTTGCGTTTTTTTTTCATTTATTCTTTTACAAATCCTTTAATTATCGGTACTAATATTTTATCTTGATATTTTTATTTGAAGAATATTTAGTATTTTAAAATTACGAGTAAATGACATGTTATCACTTATATAGTGCCATATAGTAGAAAAAATACCATCTTATAAGTATATTTCGTAATCATTGATAATTATCTCCTTTGCGAAAAATGAAAATTCTTATAGATTTTGGTAATCAGTTAAAAAATTTTTGTGTATATTATTGATTATCACTACAATTTCCCTATTTTTAAAGATATGAGCTAAATTTATATTATTTTGATATGTTTGTACACAATATGGATATTTGTTCCTATACATGTGTACTTACATAAATAATATGGTTCCTACGCTATAAAGTAATAATTTAATAATACAATAGAAAAATATATATGTATATATATATTATATTCTTTTGATAAAACAATTTATTTTTTATTTACTTTTGCCTTTATCTGTTTTAGTCATAATTTTTTTATTAATTTCATTTTTTATTTTTTTTATTTCACTTAATAAATTTTGAATTACCGGCACCAATTATGAATCAGTCATATTATTTTACCGATCGGCGCAGGTAGTTAATTTCTACGGTTTTTTATTTTTATTTTTCTAGTTGCATTTTGATTAATTTTTGTTTTAAAATGGGACTTTGTTGCTGTAAGAATTATTAATTATGTGTATATGTTCATAATATATTAAGAAAACCAAATTTCATTATTTGGATATGATTGATTCTTAAGACCAAAGTTGAAGAGATTGAGACAGTTTAAATTTTAAAAGTCTTGGTATATTTAAATAATTTACTTATTAAAAATCATGTTATGAATTGTCACAATTTGTAAGAATTTTCAATAAGTATTAAAAAAAGTATTAGCGTTTTCCAAGTAAATTTATGAAAGACAAAATACGATAAAAATATTTATTTGTGTGACCAACATCGAAATACTTATATAATGTACATAAATTCTTACTTTCGCTCATTTGTATTAACAGAACGTTATTTTAGCTGAACTTTTCATATAGCTTCGGCTTTTGATAAAAATTAGATTTAACTCACGAATTAGTCTTTTTTCTAATTTAAAGCTTTAAAGCTACATATAAAATGACATGTTGCTTCAAAGTGTTAACCAATAAACTCCAAAGAAAAGTACTAAAGGGTCATTCATTATTTATTAAAGGGTAATTTATTAGTAATTAGAAACCTAACTTACATATTATGTTATGCAACTAGAGCAAAATAATTAAACATATTTAATAAGTCTTATACTTAATCAATTATTAAGAAAAATGTTACAAAAAATATTTAAATTGTGCAACATTTTTCTTAATAGTTGCATAATTTAAATAGATTAAAGTATAATCACTTCAAAATAGAAAATAATAGTCCAAAAGGAGTTTAGAAGAAAAGAAGAAGAACAAGTTTGTTCATTTTGTTATCAATTTCTTTAAAATAACAAAAAATGTCATAAATTATTGTTAATATTTATAACTTCTTATTGAGATCTCGGTTAAATCTTTCAGATTTTCACAACACATTTTATTTAGTATATTATCTTTTTATCGACTGGATTTTTACCAATTGAATCGTATCCAGTTACAAGCATTTACATTAACGAAACGATTTATTAGTTTCTTTTTACCGGTTAGCATATTCGTTAATCCTTTATGAAACAATATATTTGGATTGTTGTATATTTGGTACAATTACTTCAAAGGTGCATATTTGGAAACCTAATCTTCCATTTTGATCTAAAAATATGAAATACTCATTAATGTTGGAAAATTGATTTAAAAATTTTTAAAATTTTTTCTTTACATACCTAAATATGTATGTATGTATATAGTTGCATGCCATGAAGATCTACACAGAATATGCATACTTGAGTATATGCACATGCATATATTATGACATTTTAAGTATGTATGTATTGCACACTAATATATTGTTCCTGTACTTTTTCGTTTAATTACTTTTTAGCACCATAAGTGCTCACATAAGTAACCATCAGAAGAATTATTAAAACAGTGCTTCTAATTGCAAATTATTCTACCATGGGTTTATTTTCATATACCTAAATATTTTAAATATTTTACATTTATAATATAACCTCATAGGATAGAAGAATTATGATTCTTATTTCTTATTCGCTTACTTAAAATAAACCTAAATGTTATTCTTACTTTGATAATTGTATTTAGTACGTACCAACAAAAACAACTTTTCGGATATTCAATTAATCATATTGTTTTAATTAATAATTCTCAACATATGATGTAGAAAATATTGTAAACCTAAATTATATACATACATACATACATTCATATATCCTACAATAGACAAATTGAAAATTTATATATTATGTAAATATTTCAGATATAAAAAAATTGCTAATTAGTTTTAAAATTCTCTTCACGTTAGTTTCTTTAATACGGTAAAATTACATTTTTTCTTGTATAAGTGGAAACGATATTTATGGAATTTACCTTATATATTAAATCAAGAGGAAAACGGATAATTTGAAATACTGAATAAGTGTTCATTTACCCATAATTATTTTACAATTTTAACACTTACATAATTCTTGCAAAGTTAAATAAAATAATATTAATACAATTTTCGATTCAATTTTTACGAAAAAGAAATACTTTCATCTACTGCTTTAAAATTTCTTTGGAAAATACTTTTGATATGTTATTTACTAGAAAGGTATTACATTACTTCGTGTTATTAATCATTATTTAAATTGAAAAATTTGTTTTAAATTTTGAATATTTGCTTTAAAATGAACCGCAAGTGAAATGTAATGAATTTTCTCAGAAATTTTAGTATTTATTATACGGCTATGAAATTTATTCATAAAATATCATGAAATAATACTTCTACATACATATTTTTGTGAATCAAAGTTTAGAACAAAAAAAGAATAAAGTTTCTGAAGTGAAAAACAAAAAAATAGTAAATTCTTTTTTACATGAATGATAGAAAATGAATTTGTTGCACAGTTATGCATGTTCAGAGAATAAAATTATAAACAAAGACCCAATACTGGACGTTCATTAACCATGTGTATATGCACGTATTTGTATATACACAATATGCTTATATTAATATAAATTTAATTATTTATAGCTTAATAATAAACATTTTAATTTTAGCAAAAAGTGATTCAAGGGATTTGGAACAATTGCCTCCAAACACTTATAATCAAACATCACGAAAAACTACAGAAAATTTCGGTGAAGTAAAAGTAACAACCACAACCACTCAAGTAGCAGCTAGTAAAACAATTGAAATACATCCAAAGTGAGTCTCTGCAATGCGAGTTTAACTGAAAAATTACATTAAAAAAGTTATATAAAAGAAAACTTTTGAATTTCTGTGTCTGTTTTTAGCGTTTATAATATTACGAAAAATAATTTTAATTTTTTTAATGATTATTATTATTCATGTAGATTCTTTTGTTCTTATTTTGCAATAGTATACATTTTATATAATAATTTTAAAAATCTTTTTATGAATAAAAATACTTTATATTAATTTTTTTCATTCTTAAAGCTATTCACGTTAAGTTTATTTTTATCCATTTTCATATAATCAAACTTGAATTAAAATATTTATAGTTATAATTTATATTTGCGTATTATTATACTGATCTACTCGATTGTTTAAAACTTAGCTATATAAAAAGTTACATATATATGAATATATATACACATATATACATATATATATAATATTTAAACTTAAAGTTTAATAAATTATCGCACCTAAGTGTTTTACATTATAAATTTTATATAAAGAAATATTTGAAATAAAAAAATTAATAATAAAATAAAATTTATAGAGATTCTAGCATTTTTTATAATAAGATTATAAGAAAGAAAGTTCTGGACGAACAATTTAATTTTTGTCTTCTTTGCTACAAAATAATTTTAAAAAATTGTTTTAAGCTATTAATTTTATTTACTTATTTATTTAATGTTATGAATCAATTTATCATGTTTTTATTATTTTTAATTGAATTTAGTTTAAATATTAAATTTTGCTTTGATTTAGTTGACACAATTGCAATCTGCAAAATGCTCAAATTGACTTCGATGACACATATAACCACATGTGTGTCCACATGGTAGTTGGAAGTCACAACGTTTTTGACATCCTCCAAATTTTACCGACTCAAAATCTACCAATGCATTGATCTAAAATAATAATAGGTCATGAAATTAATGATTTGTTTATTAATTACAGAATTTAGCATAAAAATACTTGAATAGTAACACTGTGTCTTTCACATTCTAGCATTAAATTTTCACCAACTGCTTGCTTTTCTCTTAATTTCTGATAAATGTTTCCCCACGTCGAATTATTATTTGCCAAAAATTCCATATTACCTATAGCATAAAGACCTTCTTTCGCTCTAGATAAGGCAACACAAATACGATTTTTCATAGCTAAATAACCAATTCGATTATCTTCATTGCTGCGGACCAAAGATAGTAGAATTATTTTGCTTTCTTCACCCTGGAAGTTATCAACGACTGTTACTCGCACTTTTTGCAAAGATGGATACTGTTTACGCTCCTATGGGAAATATGACAAAATATATGTGCATATGTATATAAATTTATATAAGATTACACAGTTAATTAAAATAAAAACAATTCAAAATAAAATTAGATTGTGCTTAAGTATAATATTTAAAAATTCAAACTAGAAGAATTTATTGTTTTATGTTTCATGTTGTACCTCTTCTGTGTGACTTCGCCTTTCCTTTGATCTAGTTTTCATTTCTACTATTTGTTATTAATGCAATAATTAATTAAAAAAGCTTACATTTAATAATTGAATCATTTGTCCGTTATATGTTGTCAGCAGTACTATATCCTCCGGTTTATAGTCTTGCATAAGCAAATAATTTGCTAAAGCACACAAGAATTGTGCTTCATACACATTCTTCTTAGTTGATTCATCATTAAACTAAAATTAATTGAAAAAAAATAATTACTGCATATTCATATGAACGTATAAGTAATATCATATTATTTTACAAAACAAAATTATATACTAACCTTACTTTCAGACGAATTGTGAGTTATAAAAAACATATTTTTTGCCATGCCATTAATTTTTTTGTATTTTGTGACAATGTCGTGATCATGAAGTTGCTTATATATTGTTCCACGAATTAAATCCGCGATTTCTGGTCGCATACGATGTTGTTTATTTAAACAAACACAATTCAGTCTATTGTTGATCATTCTCTCGAAAAGAGAAATATCCATGTTATATTTTTGACTCAATCGATAAACACTAGTTGTCGGCCGCAGTTGCTGATGATCACCAATTAATATCAAATGTTGAGTATTCTTTGTCAAAGCAGCAACAATGTGAGATTCCAATACCTCAGCAGCTTCCTCAATTAAAACTGAAAAAATTAGTAGCATTATGCTTTCATTCAATATTATTTTTAATATTTAAATACCAATTGGTGTTTTTAATAACTGAATCAACACATTGCATCTAGCTGCATAAGTAGTTGTCATTCCAATAACCCTCTTGTCTTTTATTGAATTGTATTCTGTAATTTGTTTTAATTCGTCAAGTTGCTTCGAAATTCTTTTCAACTCTTCCTGCAGGGTATATACTCTCAATAAAATACATTTATATTTATTATTTTCCTCTTACCTGACTTTTTAATATTTTTTGGTAGTTATCATCACTACCATTATAATCCCTTTGTAACTGTTCAAATTCTTGGAACTTTCTTGCATATTCATTTTTTGCATTATAAAAGCACGCTTTTAGCCTTCTATCAGTATTAATTGTGTCAGTCATTTGTTTTATATTATACTTATCTAATAAATCATGTTTTGATTGATTTCCCATTCTCACAATATCATCTGTTACATGTAATATTCTAGATAAAAATTGATCTAACGCATGGTTGGTATAGCATATTATTAGCACTTGCGAATCAATGTTCATTAACAATGTAGTTAAAATTTTCAACCCAATGTATGTTTTTCCAGTTCCAGGCGGCCCTTGTATTAGCGAGAATTTGTTACTCAAGGCGTGCTGGTAAGCTTTTAATTGAGAATCGTCCATTTTAAGAACCTTTGCTAAAGGATAAGTCGAATAATCAATCGGATTAAAAAAATGATTACGGTATTCATAAAAGGATTTTCCGGAGCCCGTTAAATATTCTGGGTAGTGTTGGGTTTTCTAAAAAATTTGATTGAATGTAGTTTTTTAATCTAAGATTATAATTAAAATTTTAATTTTGCAATTTTTTAACTTACATCAATTCCAACGATATAATTTGCCAAGGGGAAGTTTGATTGATCTAAACTTTTAAGAACTTTATACACGTGATTATAAGGTTCGAAATATACTTCACTTTCCAGCATTATAAAATCGGTTTCAAATATTTTTGAAACATCATATATTTTTATTATTTCTATTTGAATCTGAAATCCAAAAAAGAAAATTATTTTTTTTTTCTGCTTTAACAATATCTTGATTCATATCTTACATATCCCTTTAAAATCATATCAACATCTCTGTTAGACACTACAGCTAACAATATATTATTAAATTCTAAATTGGTTGCAAAACACAGAAGAGAACCAAACATTAATTTTTTAGGATTAACCCATGTAGGTTCTGGGCTTGTGTTGATATTTGAACCATTTCTCTGATCTGCTTTCAAATCAACCAAAATCATCTCGCCTTTACGATTTTTCGAATAAACGGAATCAGTTGCCAATAAACGAACTTTTTTGTAAATTTTTGTCGATGGTATTTCTTCTAAATTTTGTGAAGCCCTTAATTCTTGAATAAGATCTCTCAATGGCGATATAAAGTCTTCTCGTAATAAAGACAAATGTACATCCAAATAATGCAAAACAGAACTGTATTTTCCTTAAATTGAAGTTAATTGTAATTTAAATTTTTGATGGTTTGTTTACATATTTATTTGTATAAAATATTTACCTTCGGTGATATTAGGTTTTAAGCAATTAATTTCTCCGGTTTGATTTAATTCCTCCAAAGATGGATAAATCTTTAACAAATAGTAATTATTAATCAATAAAATAGAAATAACACCAAAAACAATATATTCCCGAAAACTTACTTCTTTTGATCTTATTACATTTGGTGCAGAATTCAGTACACGATCAATATCCACTAACTTTTGTTTCGACCATGAAAATTTATTCCCAGCCTTATTGAGTTTTTCCAACAAATTCTTCACGAAATTCTTTATAACATTATTGGCTATACCCGCCAAAGAAATATTTTTGCAAATTAATATAATTTCCTCAGTGAGTTCTTGTACATTTATTTGAAAAATTGATTTTTTATTTTTTACAATTGTGTTATCAAACAATCCTTGCAAAACCCCTTCTAATGATTTTAAGAAATTCTCACTTTCAATAAAAGTTTTAAGGAAATCATTTTTATATTCCTCAAGCGGTTGTTCGCATAATTTAGCCATAACTTTAATCATTAAAATTATAAATTCATTTGTCACATTTTCTTTGAAACATTGAAAAAAGCCGCAATCATTTTGTGTCACTTCTAAGAAAACATTCAATGGAGTGAGCTCTGAAATGAAACTCAATTTTTTGAAGGATAATGATTGCACCCATCCTTTCTCCGTCTTCACATGTTTCTTATTGCTGTTAACTTGTTTTTCTTCGACTTTTTTTGGAAGTTCATAATTACCGCCATAATCTGTAATTAAAAGATAATTTGTAATGTTTTGTTATAAGAACTAAAATCTTCTCATTATTACCACCATCAAATGCTGCAAAATTCGGAATACGATTTGGCAACAAACTTAAATCTTGAAAATCACTTTCAGACAAATCAGAAGCCGGTACCGGTTCTTTCTTTTTTTGAACTTCTTGCACTATTTCATCAATATCTTTATCAAACCAATCGTCATCAGACATTTTTTAACAAAATTTTTGTTTTTACTCAATAACAGAAAAAAAAATTCTTCAACTTTTTAAATATGGGTGCAGGCAAACCAAACGAAGGAAAGATGCAGCTTTTTTTCAAGAAACAAATCAAAAATCAGATGATATAAAACAAAAAATTTGACATTTCATTTTATTGACGTTTATATAATACACAGGGAAACACAATGCTGCGACTCGCTATTAAAATCGGCAAAACTACTGATATTAATAATAAAGTTTTGTGTTTTTAGGACGAAGGCATATGCAATTTTTAGTTTCAAAACTATTTGATTGCGTAATTGTGTAATCGCATGCAATTAAGCAATCAAACAGTAATTGCAAAACTAAGAAGCATATGTCTGCTTGGATGGTAAAATAAAACACATGAAAACACTCAGTTACCCAAATTTGTCTTAAACAGGATTGTGTAAAAACTTATGAACTATAAGAAGCGTCTAAAACACAAAAAATTTTTTATTTGTAAATAATCCTGCGCTACAATGGTTTGTTTAACAATTTCAGTCCTTGGACGTTCTCGCTTTTTATCTCAGAAAAAATTTCAAATCTGTCAACAAATATATCAGTTCTGCTTTTTACTAACAACATTGTTCTGTTGAGTATAAGGCTAAGGTGGAATACTAAAAAAATTTTCGAACTCGGTATAACTTGTATTTTTTTCTCAATTTATTTTCAATTCTAATTTTAGTGACAGTTCAGAACAGTGGCCAATCGTTTTTTTTGTTTATTTTTCTTGTAGCAAAATGATTAAATTTTGATGCTGAGCTCTATCAGAATTGCTAAGAATTTTATTACCAAAATAAAAATCGTTGTTCAAAATTTGCCTGAAAAATTTATTGTCAATATTTTACTTTTAAAAAATTTGACAGTAAATCTAAATAGAATAGAATAAGGTATCGTTTACACATCAAGCAAAGTTTGATGATTAAATTTGACAAGTATTTAATTTTTTATCCATATTGAAGCATATCCATGTTATATAACACAGTGAGAGTGATTTATTTGAAAATAAAAATAAGTGAAAAATAAATAATATAAGAAAAAGTAAACAATTTATGTAATTTAAATGAAAAGGAAAGTAAATATTTAATAACTAAAGAAAAATAATTTACTTTATTAGTAAACCACCCTTATTTTCAAAAGATTTAATACATTAAATTAAATTTTGCACTACTTGTAATTTTTTTGAGCCATTTTCAGCAACTTTGAGCCATTTTCAGCAAACCTATAATAAAACTTTAAAAGATAAATTTTACAATAAACAGTAGAATAGTCTATCCATACAATTTTTTTTCCTTCTGCCCAAAAGGTTGATAAGAATTTGGTAAGACTAAATTTGACAATTTAATTTGACAACCACAAAATTGTATGGAAAAGTCTGTTTACACATCAAACTTTATTTCATCAAATATGCTGCCAAATCAATAATATAATCAACAATGTAAAAAAAATTTAAGGAAAAATGAATAATTTAAATTAATGGAAAAATAATGTGAATCAAAAAAAAAAAAAAATGAAGAATTTAAAATTAAATTAGTTTTCATTAAATTTGATTACATATATTTGAGATATTTTTTATATTTATAAATTTTCAAAAAATTTATAAGAAATAATTTAAGTAACTATAAAAAATAAATTTTCGAATACTAAATTTGCTGATCACAATAAACCACTGATGCAGAGCACATAATGAGAAAAAATTGTTCCCACCTTTTTAATTTTTATATCTTATGTAACTCTTTTACATATGAATTGGATAAAGCTCCATTTTACACATCAAATTTTCATCAAATTTCCATCAAATCGAAAAAAATCTTGATGTTTGCTTGATGTGTAAACGATACTTGATTTTCTATTCGATTAATTTTCTATTCGATTCAAGGAGTTTTCGTGTACTATGTATCAGTTACAGTACCTTACCCAGCATTTACACATACAAGTTACTTGCAAGCAAGTTTGTATAATATTAATTGTCAATTAGTTTTTCGAAATGTCAAATTACTTGCTATTATGACGTAGGCGTTTAGCAAGTTAATTTTTGAAAATGTCTTTGAGAAGAAAACAACTAGCATTATATATAATTGTTTATAAATTTTAGAAACCATAAGTTTGCTAAGTTTAATTTTTTCAAAACAAAATTCAAAAATTTTAAATTAAAAAAAAAAAAAAATCAAAACAACAAATTTTTTTTTGTGAATTTCTCAATATGTCAAATTACTTGCTCAAATTACTGGCAGCAAAATTTTCTTGCAAGTTGAACTGCAAGTAAACAAGCAAGTAGAAATATTTCAATGTGTTAGTAAAATTTTTGTATGTATTGCAACTTTCTTGCAAGTAACTTGTACGTGTAAATGCTGGGTTAGATTTCAAGTTTGATGTGGCTCTAGGAGTCTGGCCATACGATTTGTTTTTTGATTGTGTTTACTTTTTTGACATTTCTTTTTAAATGTTTTCTTATTTTTTATGAAGAATTAATTAAATTTACATACATATGTGTGCAGTTTGATAGGCATATGATAGATGTTCCTCGGATTTACTATCTTGAAGTGGGTTTACGGTTTGAAAATATATCAAAAATTTAATTTCGCAATATTTAAATAGATTCATATTAAGTGCGAAGTTGATAAGTTTGCATTAATTAGATATATTAAGGTAAAACTAAACTTATTGAATTCATTTAGACTCGATTTATCTTTATATGTAATTCCACATCATCATTATTTGAGGGGTCTATTTAAGTGATACTGATAACCGTTTCAGAAGATAACATGTCAGGTATTGTTATAATCTAAATGTAATTAATTAATTATTATTAAAAAGGTGTTTCCTTTAGGAAAAAATCCTTATGGACATTTTAAAAAACAATTTAATCATGGGGGCATAACTTATAAATACTTTGACCTATGCTCGTTGGACTCCAAATATGGTAATTTACAAAATATTCTGGAATTGTATAAATATATACATAATACCAATTGAATATTCATGAATAATTAAATCATATACATACATACTTACATATTACTTTTACTTTAATTTGTCTTCAAAAATTTAAAATTGCCGAGTACACCGCACCATAGTATTGAACGATACACAAATTTTATATTTTTAGAAAAAACACCTTACTGTATTAGAGTTTTACTGGAATCGGCTGTTCGCAATTGTGATAACTTTCACATTTTGGAAAAAGACGTGCAAAATATTTTGGAATGGTCACCCAATTTAAAACAAGGTCAAAATGATATAGAAGTCTCGTTTAAACCAGCAAGAGTAATCTTACAAGTAAATATTTAAAAAACAAAAGGTGGTTATGTGAGCTTTTAAATAAAAAAAAATAGAACTTGAAGGAAAATGTATGATTGTATGTATTTTTGAAAGTTTGTAAAGTTTATTTTTTCTTTTTACATTAAAGAATTATAGACTTGTGTAACACCAAGAGGAATTTGAAATTTTCTTGGTAAAATAAAAATGTTAGTTGAAATATGTCTAAGAAGACATTTGCATTTTAAGCTTTTCTGATAACTAAAACTATGTACATATGTATGAACGGCTTTTCTACCTACCGAAACATGCGTATTTTATGTCTTAAATTTGATTTTTTTTTATGTGTTTATTAGAATATTTTTTAATGGTTTTGAATTTAAATCTTACTGATTAAAAAGAATTACAAATTATTACCTATTTTTAATGCAAAATTCTTATTAACATTACTATTTAGGATTTTACTGGTGTTCCAGCTGTTGTTGATTTTGCTGCTATGAGAGATGCTGTTCGCGAACTTGGTGGTGATCCTCAGAAAATAAATCCAATTTGTCCGGCTGATCTAGTTATCGATCATTCGATTCAAGTTGATTTTTCTAGATCGTAAGAATTTGAATTTTTTATTTTAAAATTTATCTACATAGATTAAATATATTTTTTTTTCATAAAGAGATGATGCTTTAGTTAAAAACCAAAATCTGGAATTTGAAAGGAATAAAGAAAGATTTACGTTTCTTAAAGTTTGTAGCCAAACATATTAATCTTTATACCTTTAAAATTTAAAATATATTGAATAATAATTTTGTAGTGGGGTGCAAAAGCTTTCAATAATATGTTAATCGTTCCGCCAGGGTCCGGAATTGTTCATCAAGTTAATTTGGAGTATTTGGCACGTGTTGTTTTTGAAGGCGATGAAAATGATGGAAAAATTTTGTATCCTGACAGTGTGGTTGGTACAGATTCACATACAACTATGATAAATGGTTTAGGAGTTGTTGGTTGGGGTGTTGGAGGTATTGAAGCGGAAGCTGTAATGTTAGGACAATCGATTTCCATGTTATTGCCAGAAGTTATTGGTTACAAATTAATTGGAAAACTTAGTCCACTAGTAACATCTACAGATTTAGTTTTGACTATAACAAAACATTTGAGACAATTAGGAGTAGTTGGCAAATTCGTGGAATTTTTTGGACCAGGAGTAGCTGAATTAAGCATTGCAGACAGAGCAACAATAAGCAATATGTGTCCTGAATACGGTGCTACTGTTGGTTACTTTCCAATCGATGTAAATTCATTAGCATACTTGAGGCAAACAAGTAAGTATTGTCTGTATGTCTGAAAAAATATTGTAATGGTTTCGTTTTAGATCGCAAAGAGGAAAAAATAGAAATTATAAAAAAATATCTTGAGCTTACCAAGCAGTTGCGCAATTACGAAAACGAGGCTGAAGATCCCGAATATAGCGAAGTGGTTGTATTAGATCTTTCTACAGTCGTAACGTCAGTGTCTGGTCCAAAGAGGCCACACGATCGCGTCTCAGTTGTGGATATGAAAGATGATTTTAGATCTTGCTTGACAAATAAAATTGGGTTTAAAGGTTTTGCTTTAAAACCAGATGTTTTAAATGCTACAGCTAGCTTTCAATGGGATGATGGAAAAACTTATAGCATCACCCACGGTTCTGTTGTTATAGCTGCAATTACTTCTTGCACGAATACAAGCAATCCATCAGTTATGTTAGGTGCTGGAATGTTAGCGAAAAACGCTGTTGAGAGGGGTCTTTCGATTTTGCCTTACATAAAAACTTCTTTATCTCCCGGATCTGGAGTTGTAACTTATTATCTCAAAGAATCAGGAGTCATTCCTTATTTAGAAAAATTAGGATTTAATATAGTTGGATATGGTTGTATGACATGTATTGGTAATTCTGGGCCGTTGGAAGAAAACATTGTTAACACTATTGAAAAAAATGGTTTGGTATGTTGCAGTGTTCTTTCGGGAAATCGTAATTTTGAGGGACGGGTTCATCCTAACACAAGAGCCAACTACTTAGCAAGTCCATTACTTGTTATTGCATACGCTTTAGCTGGCCGAACAGATATTGATTTTGAAAAGGAACCGGTTGGTATAAATAACAAAGGTGAAAAAGTGTTTTTGCATGAAATTTGGCCTACACGCTCCGAAATTCAAGAAGTTGAAAATAATTACGTGATTCCTGCTATGTTTCAAGAAGTATATGGTAAACTACATTAAATGAAAATAATATTTAATTTTAATATACATTGATAATTTTAATATAAATAAACTCTTCTTTTTTTATATAGGAAAAATTCAATTAGGTTCACCTGATTGGCAAAATCTTCAAGCCCCCGAAGGCATGTTATACCCATGGAGTGAAGAATCAACCTACATTAAAAAACCGCCATTTTTTGATAATATGTCACGTCAATTACCACCAATAAATTCTATAAATAAATCGAGATGTTTATTATTCTTGGGAGATTCTGTAACAACTGACCATATATCCCCGGCCGGTTCTATTGCAAGAAATAGTCCTGCTGCAAGATACTTAGGTGAAAGAGGCTTAAGCCCAAGAGATTTTAATTCATATGGTTCTAGAAGAGGAAACGACGCCATAATGGCTAGGGGTACATTTGCAAATATTCGTTTGGTAAATAAATTTTTAGAAAAGCCTGGACCTCGTACTCTTCATTTTCCAAGTCAAGATGAAATGGATATTTATGATTGCGCTGCAAGGTAAATTTGAAAATTTTAGAAATTTTCATTTGCGAATTGTTTGTTTAACTCTTATTAAATATTTCAGATACAAAGAAGAGAATGTTAGTTTGATTGCTGTAGTTGGAAAAGATTACGGCAGTGGTTCAAGTCGAGATTGGGCAGCAAAAGGTCCGTTCTTATTGGGTATCAAAGCTATCATTGCTGAGTCCTATGAAAGAATTCATCGTTCAAATCTTGTCGGAATGGGAATCATACCTTTACAATTTTTACCAAATGAAAATGCTGAAAGCCTTGGTTTAACTGGTCGTGAAGAATACAATATAAATATTCCTGATAGCATAAAACCCGGTCAGAAAATACAAGTTCAGGTAAATTATTTAAAATAGACTATGTTCATGATTTAAGTTATTTTTTTGTAATTTCAGGCTGATGATAAAACTTTCGAAACAATTTTACGTTTTGATACTGAAGTGGATGTAACATATTTTCGTAATGGAGGAATTCTGAATTATATGATAAGAAAAATGCTTGATTAAATATTTTCAATGATCAAAGTTTAATTTTGTGGAGGGATTTATATATACTCGTTTTTTTTTATAGATTTATCCAAGTATGAAATAATACTTTTCGAATTGAAGTTTTTTTTTTATTGAAATTCTTTCACATATAACTAATTTGTTAAAATAATGTTTAAAATTATAAATATATTATTAAAATTAAAATTTGTATAAATTCATACGTTTTTTACTTTGAATTGTTTTTGATCAATGTATATGCATGTATGTATGTAGATGTAAAATAAATTTCCGTACCTTAATCACTCCAAATTAGACGTTTATAGTGTAAAATATTAATTTATAATAAAAATTCCCTTTTTAAGTGGAAATTTAATTTTGTTGCACTTACTGTACTTGCTGAAAGTATAAACTTACAATAAAAATATTTTCTACCCGTTTCGATATATTAAAATTTGAACAAAAAGATTTTTTTTATTAATAAATTAAAACTTTAAGTAGTTCTTATTTAATAAGACTTTTTTTGCTTGATATGTTAGGATTATCAGACAAACGGAGCCCAGTGATGATTACAATAATATGTATAAAATAAGGTATCTAACAAAAACACCATCTGAGCCGTGTTTGCCTCATAATCACTTTTTTCTTTATACATATACATAATATGTATGAATTGAAATTTTTTAAACACTCACTTAAAAACTTTGATAGTTGAATTAAACTTTTTAATCGAATTATAAGGTACAATTACTGTGATATGATTATTAACTAAAAATAGATTAACATCTCACAGTAAAAGTTCCTTTTAATCCAATCAAATATGGTTCACACTAAATAAAAAAAGATGCTTGTATATGTTCGTTTATACTATAATATAATATTTAAATATATGTATTTATTTCTATTGCTGTAATTTCAAAACGAATTTCAATGATGTTCTAGCTTTATGATTTATTAGGATTAAATTTAAATCATAAGATAGTACACCAAAGAGACTAGTTATGAATTTCAATGGCTTTTAAATAACAACAGTATTATGTAAATGCTTAAGTTTATTTTAAAATTTTTTATTAACAATTTAATCGTATCGCTTTATGTTACTTCTGTTTTTTCGCTAAGTTAAGTACCGAAAGTGATTTATATTTGTTTTAAAAATTACACGACCGTTTTGTATTGGCTACTGGTGTTCTACTGAATGAAACAATATATTTGTGAACTGTTATTAATATGGTTTTCGCAATAAAACTTACCTGTTAAAGCGATTAAATGTAATAAATCTGAATCAGCATTTTCCATTACTTTAGTTGATTTCAATTTTGTTTTATTTTATGTTTTTTTTTTTACTTTATAAAAGAAAAATTTATTTTTGAAAGAAAGCTAAGAAAAAAATCATTGCAATAGTATTTGTTTAATGTAATAAAGATCAAACCTTTGTACATGTTCGTAATCAAATTATGTAGAGAGATCATATTGTAGAAATATCGAATAGAATTCTTTATTTGTTTATACAATACTTGTATTGAAATGATGATTTAAAGCAAGATAATATATTATGTATGTTTACTGAATTGTTATTTTTGGGTTTTTTTAATACTCAAATAAAAATATGTAAAATTCTTTAAGTAATTTAAAAATTGCATGCAACTTATGTGGGGGCCCATCAGTATTTAAAATATTACGCATGTTGTTTTTTATCTACAATTCGCACAATTTTTAAAATGTAAACTAATTCATCGCTCAAACAATGTTAATATATTACATTATTACTTTAAAATTCGTTTGATGAAACCAATAATTTCGTTTTTCAGGGCAAAACAGCTATCTATTATGGAAAAATAATAATTTTTAGTCACATTGAATTGATATTTTTTGAGTAAAACCTTAAATAATTTTTAAATAATGGGTTGAAAACATACTTTTGAATGTGACGTGTAGCTTGCTCATATTGCCGATTTTACAACGTGTACAATAAAAAATTTCATAAAAAAAAGTTAAAATAAATCAAAGTAGATGTTACATTGTATTTTATTTGGGACTTTTTTAAAGCTTTCATTTATAGGTCAGTGGAACAATAACTTTGTACAGTTGAATTTAACATATACAGTTGAATTTTAATAAAATAAAATTTGTAAAGTTTGCACTAAAAATTGTATATATGTATCGTATTTTAAATTTTTTTTAATTTAAAAAATTTTGTAGTCCATTGCTAGCGTATTTTGTATTACTTACTTATTACATTAATAAAGCATAATGAAATTATGGTAAAAGGCAATATAGTTGATGATTGGTGTAATTGTAAAGTATAAATATACTTTAAAATTGTAACATTTAACTTATAAGTGAAAATTACACAACATATTTTTATAAAATTCTGTTTTTTAAAGAAAAATCTAATCGTTTTTGGAAAATTGTTTTATTTATTCATTTTTTAAACAAATTATGTAGGTACAGTATTTATCTTTTGAAATTTTAACAAAAATTATTGTTTTCTAAGTTTTTCTCCAATTGATAGTACATAATCACATACATATAAAATTAAAATATCTAAGAACCACAAAAATAAAACGTAAAAATTTTCATTCGTTCGTATCACTTTAAATTTAATTTAAAAGTTAATTTAATTTTTGATAATTACATATGTATTTGAAATATAATATTCATATTTAAATTTAATGAATTTATCGATATTTTACAAATTATACGAGGTTCAGTTTTTATTAATTACAAATGTACATATTTATTTATATTACAACTTCATTATTTACAGAACAACATAAAATATAGAAATATTTTATGTTTATATTATGAACTATAATAATCATCATAAATAAATTCAATTTTATATTTTACTTTTTGGATTGAGAATAAATTCAATAAAAATTTATCTCAAGATCCTTTTTTGGAATTTATAGTATTTTTTTTTTAAATTACATATTAAAGGTTTCCAAAAGGAATACATTTTTGTTCCATATTTTAAATCAAATATCTAATTTTAATTTACATATTTCATAATTATGATATTAATATTATATCATAATTATAGTTTTACTCAAGAATATATTAAAAATTGATAAAATTAATTTAATGTAGAATTGGTGAAATCATTATTGCATTTAATTGACATTCTTAAATAATCATAACAATGGGAAAGAGTTGTTTTCTATACTTTGGCTAAAACATAAAGGCATAATAAATATAATAAAAAAATTAAAATGAAAATAAATTTGAACTAAATTTAACGTAACATGTAAACTAATTGGACTTAATTTAAATGCAAAATTATGACAACAATTCAACTAAATTCAATATAAATAAATAACAAAAATTGTGCGAATTCCGCCATTAAAACTTAACTTAAAAATTAATCAAATTTCAAGTTTAGTAAAAAATGTTTCTATTATTGATAATAGTCAGTAGTTTTTTTTATAGTGTTTACCATCGCACTCTATGTCTATACTGCTCGGTGATTGCTGAAAAAAAATTTTTTTATTAAAAGCGTATTTATTTATTTTGGATATTTCACCTAATCGTTTAATAGTTTCATAACCCAAAATTATACTAAAAGAAAACGCAGCGGACTGCATTAATCGAGCTGATAAACCTTTAACAAAAATTTTGAATTTTTCTTCTGCCCAAAGACCTTGGAATGCCAATCTCATTGAATCAAGGCGTTGAACTTGTAATCTAGCTCGTATAATATCTAATGGATTTGTTATTATTGTCGTTGTAAAACCGCCAAGTGTTCCAGCAACACATTGTATAAATAGGTGGGATATCCAAGGTGGAGAAATTTTTAAAAGCTCATCTATAACGTATTAATTATATTATACACTATAAATTTGTTCTTATTTTCAGACATATTATTTAATTTTACCTTGATAAAAATGGTAAAAGCCCCACCACATTGCGGAATTAGGAACATATGCTAATAAACTTGCAACATAGCCTCTATAGTAACCTTTTATTCCATCTCTTCGATAAATTTCTAGTGCTATTGCTCTTGTTACATAAAATTTGCTTTTATTATTAGTAGAAATTCCTAATGGATTGACATCTTTTCCTTGAGTTCGCATACCTAAAACCATTGCATGTTGTGATATTACATCAAATGGAACTATTATTGTTTGTCCAACTAATGATGCACAACCACCACCAACTAAAATATATAAAAAATATAGGTTTTTTTTTAAGTTCGTCAAGTTAATACGGATATTTTTAAAGAATACACATATTAACAATGTAAAACTATGTTAAAAACTGATAATTAAATATGAAGTTGATGTCCATTTCCTATCAGTTTATTTAGCATTTTAGTATATTTGCTTTAAGAGATAAGACTTAATAACTTATTCTATGAGGGTGGGTATATTTTAATATTGCACAACTACTTATATATGTACATGTATGAAATATATCAGTAATTTATATGTACCTACTAAATCAAATTATACAGCTAGAGACTATTTTTTAAATTGTAGGTATTAAGCTTTTGAAAAAGAAAAAGTTAAAATGTTGGAAGAGTAAAGAAAACATACCAAGAGCTCTGACTCTATCTCCAGCTCCAACTTGCGACATCATATGTCTTACAGATTCATAAGTTGATATGTAAAACACACCAGAGACTATTTGAAAAGATGAAATCCAAAATCCCTTATAGAGACCACGAATTCCTTCGGTTTTATAAAGTTTACGACCGCAATCAATCATACCCGTATATATATCATTTTGAAATTGAACCTGAAACAATTATTTCAATGCTTAGTATTTAAATTTTCCATAGTTAACTTACGAAAAGCTTACCTGCAACTGGGTTTTTATGACAGTCAATGGAAAAAGACAACATCGAACTGAAAACGAGCTAAGCATAGATAAGGGAATAAATTTTTTCTTATCCATCATGCTCCATTCTATACTTTTAATATATTCAGATTCCATAATATTACTTTAAAATTTTGAAACAAACGAAGATAAAAACTAACAAATTATGCTACAGCTTTTCTCAAGCTACTACTTCTGTACCCAAATTGAATATATTCTTATACCTAACAAATTCAATTGTTATTTATTCATGTCATCCTTGATATGAGAACCTTCGTAATTTTACTAAGAAAAAATATTCTGTAAAATCAATTATACAGAAAGTCCTCATAATTTTTTTTAAATTTTATACATCAGTAATTAATATTTAAAGCATATTTTATTTACTGTCTGGAAATTATACAAAATTGAAATATCAATAGATATTATGAAATTATATAATTGAGTTTTTGTATATTTTAGGTTGTTGCTGTTAAAATATTTAATTTTCACTTTTAAAGAGAATTAAAGCTTTAAAAAATAGTTAATATTTTGGAGACAAAAGGAAATTTTTCCTTACGGCTTTATTTTTTAAGAAAATTTAACTTTATTCAAATGAAAAAACTTGTGGTCTAGACAAAAACTAATCACACAAAACTCACACTCACCTGACATTGACATTAGATTTTGACATATTTTCAATTTTTTTTAATTGTTCTCTTTCGAACTTGATATGAAAAAATAAAAACATTTTCAGTTTTGTTTTGTTTATCTTATTCTCCCAGAAAACAATAATTTTTTACTACTCTAGTGACATCTAGTTTAAAATAGAACATTTTAATTTTATTTAAGGAGCAAATTGTTAAGTAACGGAAAGTCGTTTAGGTAAGACAGAAAATTTATGGAAAACATTTGCAAATTTAAAAAAATTTAGATAATAATTTGAAAATATAAGGGGCGGCTGAATGTATGAAGGTGACCTTGTGTCTTAGCTAAAAAGATATTCATTTGAGAGAATAAGAGAAAATATTGAGTTATAATTTTTAGTCAATCATTCACACATTAAAAAAAAATTAGAAATATCTGCACGAAAGCTGCTTTTCAATAAAATGCAAGATTGTCATAAAATTCATTTAGTTTTTATTATTCACATATTTATATCTATTAAAATAAATTTTTTTTGCATTGGGGTAAGCTGTTTTAGAAACATTTAATTTTTCTTCTTACATAATCAACTTTTACGTGCAAATAAAAGTTTTATTTTTAAAAAAATTGGCATTTTTAGTTGCTTTATATTAAGTTCCATACTTTTTATGTTTCCATGCAAATTAACAGGCATAAATTCAAAAGCTCGGTTAAATAAAAAAAATAATGAAATAATTTTAATAATGGATTATACGATTTTTAGTAAAATGCAATTAGGTTAGGTTAGGTCAGGTTTACGCGGCTACTGTAAAGTATAAATAGGCTCGTTGTGGTACCGCTGGACTCTGGAGCCGAGCTTTTCAAAAACCGTTTTAGATTTCCGGCTTGTACATTCATCAGGTACATGTACCGTAATAAGAAGAACAAAACAAAATTGTGTACATATATGCGTATTCGACTATAATAATTTTCTGCAAAAAACAGACTTAATACAATACGTACTTCTAATTAAAATATGAATTATTATTATAACTAAAAGTGTATACCATTATTCAAGATTAGCTATTTAAGAAAAATTGGATTTGCGAGTTAAATTTTTTAGGTAATAAAATTATGCATGAATAACAGAAATTAGTAAATTTAATTTAAATTTGAAATAAATAAATTGAAAGGTAGGTACACATCTTGTCCCCATAACATTTTCTTATAAATTATAATATAAAAATTGGATTAGACATATAGGATTACTAGTTCTCTTTCTTAGATTATTTTAGATTTCAGATAATTTTACAGTTAATTTAATTAAAAGAAATATATTTTTACTATACTATAATATAAATCGCTTTCGGTTATGCAACCATAGGTATCTATAATTTGAAGGAATAATGGAAAAACGATTAATTTTATTATACCAACATAATTCAATTGTAATGAAAACAGCTTGCAAACACCCAAAAAATTTAAAAGAAAAGTATTCTAAAAAAACTTACTTGCAATAATAGAGACCAAGAGCAAAAAAAGTCAATGAATATCTACTAATTGTATATGCCTAAATTTAAGAATAGTGAAAAATGTCCTACGTTCAACCTTATGAAAAATTCCAAAGTACCAATATTTTTTATAGAACTGTGTAATTCTCCGTTTTATTTTGATTTAATTTTCAAACATGATACTGCTTTCTAAATAGTATTTTCAATCAGTCTCACTGTAAGTCCTATAATGACTTATTAGTATGAAACTGTTTTTTAATTTTTCAATTTACTATTAATAAAACGTAAATAGTAATCTAGGTTCAGATTTGACTATGTTGAAATGAAAACAAAATTAAAAAGTAAGAACACTATTGACTATATTAAAGGTAAGTATATGCATGTAAAAGTAAGTATACATATACTTATGTATATGTACAAATTTGAATAAAATTTAAAAAATGTGGTCATGAAACTCATGATTTCCAAAATACATTAATCTTTAAATATTTCAAAGGTTTGTGATAGTGATTAATTTGAAGAGTCAATTTGACAGCTTGACTTTGATTGTATTTTGGTTTTTGTTTTAGTAGAAGAAGTTATTTTCTGACCTTTTTTGAGTTTATATAATTTTAAACTGTTTGTGCTTCGGAAACAGTATAATTGGTCAAAAACACGCCTTTCCACGGTTTAAAAATTTATTCTAAAGAAATAATACTTTTGTAAGCACATGGACAGACAGGGTTAAACTAATAAGTAATTATTTTTTCAAATTGTTTTAGAAATGTACCAAAAACTAGTTATCAGAAAGTATATACGAGGGCTGTCCCAGAATTAAGTAGCCTAACCAAGAAAACAAAAACATTTTGAAAAAAAAAAATAACCCTGGCACAAAAGCCAGGCTTATTTTGTTTTTTTTTTTTCTTTTCAGATTACCGACAATAGTGAAGCTTTTCAGTAAATTTTTAATTATGAATAAAATTGGTCTCGTATATTACAGTAACATTGTACAAGTAAATATTTCTCTCTGACCACTACAATAATACTAGCAGTTTTTTGTTTTTAATATATACTAAGGTGCAAAGAATTATTTGTATCTGTGAGATATAACGTGAATTGAAACGAAAGAAAATAACAATACGCTATGAATTATACGAGTACATTTATGTACATACAAACATATATATGCATGCATATGTATATTTACCTAAATTTCTTTTATGAATATGCAACGAACATTTTGTGAATTTGGATGGTATTGAAAATATGCAGACGTAAATGCATATGAATACAAACGGTATTAATTTTTATATGTATATATATATATATATATATATATATATATATATATATATATATATTTCGTATAATTAAGTTTATTATAAAACAACATACATATTTATATAAAAAATTGACTTCTGTAAGGAAATTTGAGTATGTTTAACAGCAAGAGAATGTAAAAGAATTTAGTGAAAGTGCCGCCATTATAGAAATATTATAGGGGGAGGTGTTGATATTGCGCAATGAAAAATTATTTTTCAAATTATTTTTATTTAAACAGCCTTTTGAAACCAGCCTCCAGTTATTGCATAGGTATTGGTTGAATTTTGGAAAAGCAAAAAAAAAAAAAAGAAAAAAAAAACATTTTTCTACTGATAATAAGGATGTGAACCAAAAAATTTAGTTAAGGATGTACGTTCGGTCGAATTACAAGTATATTTAAAATAATATAAAATTAAATTATGCTTTGAAGTAATTGAAAAGAAGTAACATTTTTAACTGTACAATATACGATATAAATGATTTTTTAAAAGAAAATTTAAGAAAATTTTTCAAAAATAGAAAAATTAATTGAATAAAAATTAAAAAAACTTCTGATAAACCACTGATAATTTTGAAATAATATTGTATATGTATAATTAATCAATGAAATTTTTTTACATACCCATACAAAATTGATGCTTCGTACAAAAAGGATTATGCGGATATATAAATATAATGTATGTATGAATATACAAAAAAATACATACATATAAAAAAAAATAAATCATATTACATGTAATAATTGAATTATGGATGACCTTAAGGATTATCATCAACATCATCAGATGGATAACGATAAAATTGTAAGGATTATTTTAAATCAAATAAATATATGGACATTGTTATATCTACACACAAATATTACATATGAGTATGGGGTTTTATATAAAGATATATGAATCCTTTTGGATAAATTTAATTTTTTTTTTTAGTTTTTGTTTCACGAATTATATTAGTATAATTAAATTTTATATTTCGAAAAATTTAAGAAGCGCAGACATATTTTCATTATGTATATAATGTATAGTTTCATAGCATATTTGGACGTATTATGTTATCATAGTGTAAGAGTTAGAGGTTATTCTACAGATATAAGGGCTTTATTTAATATCAAGAGTTTGAAACTCTTGAAAATAGTATGAAAATACAAAATAATTTCCAAATGGCTTTTAAAACATATAGTTTGGATGTTTTGGTCCTCCTATATGCTATAATAGTTGTGATGAAATCTTCTTTATTAAGGACACTTTAATTTAGATATAATTACAAATTCAATTTTTTTAAATACTTCTTAAAGCCTATAGAAAATGTACATTAAATTAATTTTCAATAATTTGTAAATAATATCTAGCATATTTTTGGCCAAAGAGTATAATTATAGTTTTGTGCACCGATATTTGCAGGAGAATTGCGTACACTCATATTATTCTTTCTAAATTCGTTACATATTATTCATAATAAATTAATTGCCTTTTTAATAATATTAATATATCTTTGTTTCTGAAATAAGTGACAATTTTGTAAATTTTATAGAATACTATATTAATTCTTTGAATAACACAAAAATTCTAGAATGTACTTAATAATAGTATTTATGTTGGTATACATTCAATATACAAAATACAATACAAAAGAGTCTAATTGTTCAAAATTCACTACATTCCTGCGAATATCTACATGATCAATTCCAAATTTTTTCGATATCCATTAAATTTTCAGAGATCTCCAGGAACATTCTAGAACTTAGCGAGTCTATTCTAATTAAAAACGAAAAAAAATTGGAGTTGACCTTGTCAACTCTGTGATACCCGTACGAATTTGTTATCCTATGTGCGAATAAAGATGCCATAACTGACTATGGGACAGACTATGACTTTAAGTTGCCGTATATTAATTTAAGCAAAATTTCAGTACAATGTATTTTTCAAAATACTGTGTGTGCCAAACTACTGTTGAAGTTGTATGGCAGCTACAAGAAAGAGCCAAGAAATTTTAACGAATTTTATCAAACACATCGGCCCTACTAATATATTTGCGTGTGTGAAATTTCAATACCACAGCTTTTATAGTTTCTGAGATATAGCCAAATAACTTTGGAAGTTGTACGACAGCTACCAGAAGAAGCCAAGCAATTTCAACGACTTTTATCAAACACATTGGCCCTACTAATATATTCGTTTGTGTGAAATTTCAATACCATAGCTTTTATAGTTTCTGAGATATAGTCAAATAACTTTTGAAGTTGTATGACAGGTACCAGAAGAAGCCAAGTAATTTCAACGACTTTTATGAAACACATTGGCCCTAGTAATATATTCGTTTCTGTGAAATTTCAATACCACAGCTTTTATAGTTTCTGAGACATAGCCAAATAAATTTTTAAGTTGTATGGCAGATACCCGAACTGTTGCCCCGATCATGTCCAATTTAAATAGGGTTCTGGAACTTATTACAATAAATCATTTGGGAAAATTTGGTGAATTTAGCTCAATTAGTTTTTGAGTTATCGTTGGGACGGACGGGCGGACAGACAAAGCTAAATCAACTCAGAATTTGACGCTGATCAAAAACATACACTTATTTCTTAGCGTTACAAACGGTAAGGCAAATTTAGTACACCTTTCGAACATACGTTCGTACGGGTATAATGAAATATTGTTCCGTTTGGATTTAAAGTATGCAAAAATTCGTTTAAGTGGTTATTGCTTTATATAGAATATTTATTTTCCTATCTAACATAAGTTTCAATTTCAACTATTGGTATTATTATTGTTTTGGAAATAAAAGAGTTTTGAAATTGCAATTGGGTCACTTTCAAAATTAACCATTCAGTACAATTACTAGTATATATGATATACTTAAGTATATAGAGTATGTACTTTTCAAAATTCTTAAATAATTTCTGCACCTAAATTTTAAAATTAATTAAAAATTGAACTGATTGTTACTCGTCAATCCAAGTAAAAAAATTTAATTTCGAATATCAAGCTCAAAAATAATTTTAAAAGTGAAATTTTTGAATTTATCAATTAAGATTAAATATCCTTAGCTAACTTAAAAGTTAACTCCTTTTCACTATCAGCATATGGTTTTGTTTCGTCTTTGTCAATTATTCTTAATAAGTTTATTTAGTACTGCTACATATTATTCCATCCTGCTATTGTTGTTTATTTGGTTATCTAATGGTTAAATTTGACAAATAACTACAAATATTTTGTAGTTTTGTACCTGACGCTTTCTCTGTACTAAAATAAGGATGAAACTCAATAAATTAATTTTTGAGCTGTAGTGAACTGCTGAACAAGCATTGAAAACTTATTTGAAAAAATGCCAATCATTTGGTTGCTTTACGTGAACAATTTTTTTATAAAATAAAAATAAATATTTTGAATGTTTTTGGTGTGAAATGAATTTAGAATTTTTAAAAATTCGTTGTATAAATCGATTTTGTTTTTTAATTTAATACGAAAAATCTTATAGGAACGGGCATTGAATTTTATTGAATAACGCGACTCTTGCCTTGATACGCATAATAGGTTTTTAAAAAATCTACGACTTTTTGAATTTATATATGTTTGTATGGCTTACTAAATATCAAGTTTCCAAATTAGGCAGATGAAAAAGATTCTGTTATTTCTTTTTCAAAATATTAAGGATTATCATCAAAAACTGATTGATTAACATCAGTTGACAGGATTTTTAGCACTTTTCCAAAAAAATTAATAAAAAAGTGCTTATTAGTTTCACTCTGTCCGTCCGTCCGTGTGTCTGTTTACAAAACTTCTACACTCTTGTAGATAGAAAGCTGAAATTTTAAATGTACATAGATTTTTACTAGAAACTTCTCCCCCCTCTGAAAGGTATACCCCCTAAAATCCCTAAAAATGGCATTTTTCAACTATTTATTGGAGTAGACATTCCTAAAATTTAGCAAACGCAGAAAAATAATGACTTTCTTCTTTTACCGCAGCATACTGTACCTGAACTTTAAAAAAGCAAAATGGCCATTAAAATTTACCGTTATATAAAATCCGTTTTTTTTTAATTTTTGATGTTGTTTTTCTTCTAAACCCCAGGTTGTGTACGCTGAAATTTTATCAGCTTTTAGGCAATAATAAATAGTTCATTTCGTTAAAGAAAATTTTTTTCCATCTCCACGCCCTCTCAAGTTATCGCCTCTTGAAATTTGTAAAATTTGAATTTTTGACGCCCTATACTTCTGAAACCACAAGTTTCTCTAAATTTCTATAAACGCAAAAAGCTAACGGTAAATTCCATAATATTAAAAAATATAATTATTTTTCTTAACTCACGCAATTAATCCTTAAAATCGAGCATTATGTTAACACCTCTTTAAATTAATTTGTGATTTACTTCAAAGACTGCATAAATCCTTCATCCTAAATATATGCAATCCTAGAAATAGTTTCGTATATGAATGAAAACAATTTTAATAGTGTGGTAGGTATACAATAGACGGTATTTAAAAGTAATATTATCACTTGCTGAAGGGAAAAGTGCTACAATACAAACCATTGGTTTGACTCAACTTTATTAAATAACTGTCTTAATTTACTATAATATAGATTGATCCTGTCTATATTTCTGTTTCCAGTTTTTAGGTTACATATAGTTAGTCTATGGTAAGTCTATTCGAAATATTGCCTATATTGTTCCATTTTTTCTTAGGTAAATTCTATGTGTAAATATAAAGCGAGATTTTATTTATAATAATTTAATTAATAAAAGTATTTAGGCGCAAAATATCTAGGACTTCTATCGAAAACCCTCTATCCCACATTTCATAAATTTTGAAACAATTTGAGGAAAATTCGGAAATACTATTTCTCTTACTACCGTTGTTTTCAAATATGTATAAAAATACTTTATTTTTCGAAATATTTCAAAATTACCAGCAATGAGAATTTCGCATTAGGTTTTTTTCTAAAATAATAACAAATTATTTTAAAATATTTCTTACAATGGATTGAGGATTTTCCTCATAAGCTTTTGATATATGTTTTGTTATATTTATTTCCCGTTGTTTTCTAAAGTGTAACCTTTTTTAATTTATCCCTTTTTCTCTTTTTTAAACCATAATAGTTATTGACTGCAGTCAAAATTGTAATACAATAAGAGTGAAGATAACAGTAATTAGAAGTGCATTGTGAGAAAGTTCTGAAAATATCAACTTAAATTATATAGGATGGCTACAGTTGCTTTTTTGTTAAGCTTTTTGAGTAAATTTGCTAACATTGTTAAGTATTCCCCAATTTCAGTTTAGGAACTTAAATTTAGACTCACATTACGTTTAATTTGTACGCGAAAATTTTGAAACCAGAAGTGCCAAATTTAGCCAAAAGAAAATATAAAGGTTTTTCTATTTGCATCCCTGATATTTAGTGTGTTTATGAGGTGATTTCAGGCTCATTATACACCGCACTTTGTTCATTATAAGTCAGCTTTTGCAAAGTCTTTCTTGCACAACTTTGTCTTTGCTTGATAACATTGAAAATTTCACAAATTTACTGCAGTGATTTGTTTAACGTAATTAGGTTGTAACATGTTGTCAAACTCAATAAGTTGAACTCAAATAATTTAAGTTAAGTGCGCCAATACTGTTTTCTTGATCCAAATTTTATAATTTTTTGAAGACCTACGGTAATAGTTATTCAATGAATTTGTAAACTAACCTGCATTTTGTAAAACATGCTTTATTTTTCGCCAGATTTGCTGTTTTGCAAAATAAGTTATGTAAGAAGTTAGATCTTCCAAACAAAATTACCTAATCTAGAAAACTGAAATTAAGAGTGCGTAATTAAATAATGTTTATAAAAAAGATAAACTTAAAAGTAAGGACAACCTTTAATTTAATCGTCAAGGAATATAACAGAAAACCGTAGGTATCCAATTTATTTTCATCTTGTACTTATGTTTATTGGAATATAATTGCATCTTCTTTGTTCTAAGGTATTATCAAAAACAATGGGAGATTTCTCCCACACGTACATTTTTTTGTAATTTCCTTATCTAAACTTATTTTGGTTAAACTAATATTTTCAGATAGTAGATTAGGCAACGAGAACGATTCCAAGCTTTACATGGAAACTATTCAAGTATCTTTTATTAACAAAATTAATATAAAAACTAAGCTCAGGGGCGCAATATTTAATCAGAAACTCATTTTAATGTATTTAGGAGTTGCTTTAATCAAATGTAGTCCTGTAGGTGCTTCTATTATAGTTTGTTGTTTCTTTGGTTTATTATATAGAAAAATGTGAATTTACTATTACTATAAGACAATAAAATTAGAAAAATAAAAAAAACTTTTGATTTCACAAAGATCTTTTCTAATTTGTCTAAAAGATTTAACTATGAAAGCAACACCTTGCTAAAATGAATAAAATAAACAAAGTAAAACATTTATTAAGGTAAAAACAAACCTAATAAAATTTTGTTCAATAATTATAGATAATTAGAAATTGCGTAAAACATTTATTCTAACAACAAATGATAAAAAAAGATGTGACAAAACTTCACATTTTCACTTTTTTTTTTTTGCTTTACGTCCTTCTACTTTTCTTATTCATCTACTCGTTTATGTAACAATCATAGGGTGCAATTTTCTCATTAGATAATTGAATTCGCATTTCATAAATTGAAAAAAAATATTTGCCCTGTCAATAACACAATTAAAATGTGTTATACAAGCAGACTACAATCACAATAACCACAATTGAATGTCATAATAATAAAAATAAAGAAAATTTTTCCTCTCTTACGTATATTTATGTATATTTAAATGTGTAAATGTCATTTAATAGTACAACACCTTAATAAACTAATTTAAAACTAAAGAAGAAACAAAAATTCAAAAGATAAATAAAATGTCCTTTGTATGTGAATTTTCCTTTATTCCAGACATTTGTTTGTTCTTTAAATGTGAAATAAAGTTGAAATTTACCGTTATTGTTTTACTTTGTTTAAATTTATAAAGAAGAATCTTTAAAAAAGTCAAGGATATTAAATAGAAATTAATGTAAATCCAAAAAAGAGAAAAAAAAAAACAGAAGAGAACCAAAAAAATAACAGCGTTATTTTAAAGGTTATATGAGGGTTTAATTTCTTTCAATAATATTTTTTTTAAATGATTGTATCCTTGTTTAAAGTATTTATGATTTGGTGCTAATGACAATTGAGAACTGAAGAAATTTCAAAACACAAAATGTTAAAAAATTCAATTTAACAACCACAAAATTAAACAATTATAGACTGCATTGCATGTGTGAAATAAGGAAGGCATTGTAATCGTTCTAAATTTAAAATGTTGATTTTGTAGCGGAAATAGACTTTTCCATTATGATAGAGGAACGTTAAATAAATTATTTTTAATTAGATTTCGGTTTTTCGATATTCTTTTGAATTTCAGTTTTTACTTACAAGATTTCTTCTTTTGTTGGACATTTAGAAAATGGAATATCTAAGAAAATTATTAACGAAACTTCTAAAAATCAAACAATTGAGTTCTGCTTGGCTATATAAGACTTTCTTGCTTTTCAGAAAAATTGTGTAGAAAAATGTGAACAATAAGAGTAAAATTAATGCATATATATTTTTCGAAAAATATTAAGGAGAAATGCAGATTGGATAATCGCGTATGAAATCCTTTCGCTAAACTAACAAGAATTGGTTTACTGAGACATCGGAGTATTATTCAGAATATGCAATGTGCATATTCTCGGTTATATGTTGTTCCTATAAGTTTTGTTTTTACTTTTTGGTTTTATATACCCTATGATTTTCACTTGTTTTAATGTTTTCTTTCTTGAGGAATATGGGAAATTTTTTCATTTCCTTTAAGGAAAACCTTAAAACATTTTGATTTTCTTTTTATAAATTTGCCAAATTGATTACATCCTTTATGATTTTGGTATGTGTATATTGTTTATTTGTTTCCCTATGTAAAGTAAAAATGCGTAAAAAAGAAATTTAAGTTATCTTTAAGAATAAAAACCTTTGAATTCAAAAGTGATTGTTTAAAGCAAGAATTTTTTATTCAGTGTTACCTTAAAATATAAAGACATTTGCTTAAAATATAGTTTTAATGTGCATGTGGGCTAAATTAAGTTATGTAAAGAGAAATTCAATAACCATAAATGACTTTTTAAATGTCTGTTATATTTTATATATATTTGTAATAATGTGTATAACTTACTGACTCACGTGTCAAAGATTGTGGGTGCTTTCAATTCCGATATTGACTTTCTTCAATTCCAAAGTAGTTTCGACTGTCCTGTTGTGTATTCATATGGAAAAGTCTTTTGGAAGAGCCTTAAACAAAATAAATGAAATACAGTTATGCGTTGTTTAGAACAGGTAAACGAAAAACAGGTAACAGACAGGTAAACGAAAAATACATCAGCAATCTAAATGTTTCCGATTTAGACACAAGTTACTAGTCTCTCTAATTTGGTTCCTTCAAATATTTTTTAATTAATTATCATTTCGCTCTAATGTGAATATGTCATTTCTATATGTTTAGGAATATTCAGCAAATCATAATCTTAATGGGGGCAATAATATTCATTCAACAAATCCACTTCATACAGTGACATCAGTAGCAACGACAGAAGCAACAAATACAAATAGCTTATTGAATGTAACAAACGAATTGCAGTCAACATCATCATCTCTGCCATCATCATCATCATCAACATCATCATTTCAACCTATACAAGGAGTTAATAAAAAAAATACATCTGTTTTAAATGGAAATTTATTATTAGATACATCAAGTTTATTACCTTCAACAACAGTTCAATTACCTCCACCTCCTTTAACAACATCAATTCAATTAGGTGCAACACCATCTTCACCACCTCTTCCATCATTATCATCTAATAGTTTAATTGTAACAACAGCTTCAACACTTTCAACAACTGGAATAGTTTCTTCAATGTCACCCACAAATGGTTTGTTATTCTGTTTGTTAAATTTTAAAAGACAAAAATCAATATTGATATTAATTGAAAATTTTTCCTATTAGATTCTCAAAGGTTAACAGAAACTCAACATTGGTATCATCATCATCACCATCATCATCCGCATCCGCACACACATCATACACATCATTCCCATCATCATCATCATCCTCATAATCATTTACATCCACATCAATTAGAGGAACAAAATTTTCTAGTTTTCGGAACTAATCCAAATTCTAATAAATTACACGATTGTTCTGATGGAGATTATTTTAACACAAGGTACAACGGTAAGCTAAAAATAATAAATTAACATTTTTATTTACAATTATAATTAATGAAATACATAAAAATATAATCAAATTTTAATTACATACAGACATTCAATTGACATTATACCATATCAGTAGATATATTGTTTATATGTAAAATAAATTTTTAAGATCTCAAAACAAAAGTAATGCTTCTTTAAAAAATTGGCAAAGGGTATGAAATTTTTAACCCCCATACAAAATTTGTGTTCATACTATAATAAGACAACCCATGGTTTATCTTGTTAAGCATAATATTATTGACTTATTATCAGCTACACGGTACTCTAAAGTAAATTTAAAAGTGTGTATACATTTCTATATATAAACATATATATACATAACATATATATGCATTTGTAACAAAATTACAACACAATTATTAGCATTAAATCATGTTTGAGGAAAAATCACTCCTGGGCATTTTTCATTGAAAAGAACAAGTCGATTTTTATTTTGATTTATTTTTTAATATTAAGAGGAAAAATATTTATTCTTTGATTGTTTATATTTCGTTATTGTTTTAAAAAATTTAATTTGCCAATATTTATTTATTGATTTAATTAAATTTTTAATAATAAATAAATTTCATCACTTTCAATATTTTAATAAAATTTATTTTGTTCTTTATATTAATTGTGTGTATTTAAAAAAACAATAGTTTATAATAAGTAAAATGAATGAGAAACGAGAAAAAATAGAGTTGACCTTATCAACTCTGTGATACCCGTACAAATTTGTTAACCTATGTGCGAATAAATATGCCATAACTGACTATGGGACAGACTATGAATTTAAGTTGCCGTATTACCATATTAATTTATGCAAAATTTCAGTACTGTTTTTTAAAATACTGTGTGTGCCAAACTACTATAGAAGTTGAATTGCAGCTACCAGAAAGACCCAAGAAATTTTAACGAATTTAACAAGCAACTCGGCCCTACTAATATATTCGCTTGTGTGAAATATCAATATTACAACTTTTATAGTTTCTGAGATATAGTCAAATAACTTTTGAAGTTCTGCGACAGCTACCAGAAGAAGCCAAGCAATTTCAACGAGTTTTATGAGACACATTAGCCATACTAAAATATTTGCTTGCACCAAATTTCAATACCACAGCTTTTATAGTTTCTGACATAAAGTCAAATGAATTTGGAAGTTGTATGGCAGCTACCCGAACAGGTTCCCCGATCAAGTCCAATTTAAATAGGGTTCTGGCACTTACTACAATAAATCATTTCCGAAAGTTTGGTGAACTTAGCTCTATTAGTTTTTGAGTTATCCTTCGGACGGGCTGACGAACGGACGGACTAAATCAACTCAGAATTCGACGCTGATCAAAAACAGACACTTGAGTCTATATTTAAGACCGTTATTTCTTGGCGTAACAAACGGTAAGGCAAATTTAGTATACCCTTCGAACATACGTTCATATGGGTATAAAAATAGAACAGGGCTGCAGTTTTACAATTTCATAAAGTAGTCGATTTTGCACAAAAAAATGGAGGTTTTGAGTTTAAAAGGGAATTCCGATATTCTCGTACTATAAAATATTTTTTATGCTTACTAATATTCTGATACTGGTACTTAATTATGTTTAATTCGTTGCACATCTCTCTAAAAGATATACAACATAATAATATTTTAACCTTCGTTAGTCATTACGAGTACCTTAGTTAAAAGGTAAAGGAGCAAACAATTTCACCTTTTATCCCTTTTTTTAATTTAAAGTTCCTTCCAAAGTAGGAATTTCACTATTAAACCAATTTCGACGAGTTTTTACAAATCAAAAATTTTGGCTTTTTTCAGAAATCTGAGAAATTATGGCAAAATGCAGGAATCCTATACGGCACAAGATATGGAGTTGATTTCCTTTTCATAAAATGCTGTCATTTTACAAACATGTTAAATTATATAATATTGAAAAAGTCAAACGCTATTCAAGGTTAATTTTTTTTGGAATTTTACTGCTTGAATTTACTGGATTATTTTTATTGCATATCGCAGAAAATATTGATTTTTCTATATTAAATCACATTCAAACACAAAATTCATGCTAAAAACTAAAAAGAAAAACTTCACGTATAAATTGTGAATTGAAAAATATGCTTAAAAGGTGTAAAAGTTTAACGGAGCCAAGAGCTCCATTTGGAGCCCAAACAAGAGCCTTGATATCAATCCCGTCCGGATTGATTATGTTTGAGGTTGAGTACAACATCATACTATTTTGAGTATTTATTTATTTGTTTATTGCTCTTGCTACTATCCTATTACACGAAATTCGAGCAGTATAAATAGTTTCAACATATTATATACCTCTTATTATCAAATTATTTTTTAAACTTTACAACAACTACCGAAATCAACCTACCTCTTTGAATAATTTCTTAAAATTACCATAAGGGCTCAAACAGACCACTAGCCTGATCAAATGTAAAAACGTACAGTTATAATTAAATCCATTGAACCTTTTCTATTCAGCAAAATTCACAATTTTCAGCAGAACTGATCATTCTGTTTTCCATTAAGATAAGTTCAATAAGTTCGAATTAACTTTTTAGCGAATTATCTTGTACAATTTATGAAGAATTGTGTATCACTTTTAAATTTAATTCTTATCATGTTATAAAATCTTTTATTTACACATTTAATTGATCATTTTATAAAATTAAATTTTATCTTTAAATCTTTGTACATTTTGTATGTTTGTGTTAATCAGTACCATAATTTATCGGTTATGTGAAGTATGAGAGAGAAAATTATTAGTAGTATAAGAATAAATTCGAAGTGACTCATATACTCCTATACAATAAAGTAGTTGTTTTGCACTGTGAAATGCACAAATTAGTCAAATACTTAAATTATACATATGTATGTTATTTAAAACAAAAAAACAAGTTCAGATTTGCAGCTCAGTGATATTTCAATATGTTTTACATAGGTATCTATAAATACCAAAATAAATACGAGTTATGTCAAACAAAACTTTTAAATTTTAAATTGAATTTTAATAATATCTTTGTAGTAAATTTAATTTCTAAAACAGCTTTAATTTATGTAAATATCAAATATTGAAATAATTGTATTTCAAAAAGAAAGCATATTATGCCAAAATATTGCAAAATATAAAAAAAATTGAAAACTTTATTAAAAGTTATATAGGATTAAATACGCAGTGTCAAGAAAAAGGTTATCAAAAACAGATTCAATATTCTCATACGAATTTAAATTGCGAGTTTTTGATCTTAACTCAATAAGTTTATATTATATAATAAGAGAAAAATTTTTTCCTTAAGATTTTTATTTGCTTGTTCTTTTATTCATTAATCTTTATACTATTACAAGTAAATAATATAATTTTCCTATATTACATTTTCCTTAACTATAAAAATATTAAAAAGGAAAATAAATGATCATTGCTGTTTAATACAAATATTTAATCATTCATCTACATCAACACAGTCATCATCATCATTGTCATCATTGTGAGTTTCAAATACAAATTTTTTCCTTTTTAACCATTTTTTTTTTTTAAGAAATTTCTATCATGTGAAATAAAGAAATACAAGACAAATTTTCATTACTGATATTTTAAAAATAGGTTTACTACACAAAATAATAATTTGTTCTGATTTTATCTTACCGATAACTCCTCAGCTGGATAAGAACAAACAGCAAAATTATTTATCTTTATTGTAAACATATTGCTTTTTATAAATATTTTCAATATTTTATTATTCATAAAAGAAAAATTAAGAAAAAAAAGGCAAAATCACAAACCAGATTTACCGTAATATCTACTATTATATTATGATGATAATAATGATAATAACTACCACCGCCCATAACTTGAAATCCTTAAAAAATAACATTTTTACTTATTTTTAACAAATACACATGCACACATAAAATTCTTTATACAAACATAATATATGTATACTATTTTAACATTATATAATGTATGTGAATATTATGTTTTTTTCTATATATATTAATAATGCATTGCAAACAAAAAAAAACCATATTGTTAGTAAAAGGGATTCGTAGTGAAAGAACTTCATCTTTTTTCGACATACCCGCTGCGACTCATCCATACTGTTATAGGTAAGTGAACTTGTACTATTTTGATGAAATACGGTTATACATAACGTATATATACTTATATTATTTTTTTATTATACCAGGCTTTTTGATTTTTGTTTCTACCTTTTTGAAAAATTTATTTACTCTTTAATTTTTATGGTATTTTAATTTAAGGTAAATGTGTCTATATTAAAAAAGTGTAATATTTTAACAACAATTGCATCATATTGCTCATATTCAGTTTATAAGACACAATGTATATCGAAAAAAAAATGATAAATATTTTTATTATTCTCAATAAAAATCAAGTTATGTGAGAAGCATAAGTTCGAGACACAGATCAGCACTTAACGGGCGTCCCTATACGGGTATCGTTCTAATAGTGCTCATAAATGTCATTTAAGTATTTTAAATTGAATAAATGTATTTACAGTCATATCTGGATATATGAATTTTAAAGCAATTAAACTTCACGCACGCACTTTAAAAATCCCGCTTAAGGGTAAAATTGTACAAATAAAACGCTTAAAATAACAAATAAATATTTTTATTTTAGGCGCTTTTCCAAAAATTTGAAAGAAAGTGCTTATTAGTTTGACTGTAAACGTCCTTCGGTCCATTCTATTTACAAAACTTTTTACATCTCATCCTAAGTGTATGCAATGTGTAAAGGTTTTTGATATATGTATGAATGATAGTAATTTTTATATTGTAGGAGATTGTGCTACTTTACAACTCATTTGCTTAACTCAACTTTATTTATAATTCTGTTGATTGAAAAGATGAAACATTTAAACATGCAAGTTGAATCTTGTCTTTGACCACTTCTGGCTCATAAATAAAGTTGAAATTTTCATTGTTTTAATTTTTTCATTGAGAATTGACTTTGCTCCGTGTTTTTTTGACATTCAATCTAAAATTATAAATTTTTTGTATATAGCTATTTCAATATTAGCTAACATTTTCAAATCGAAAAAATTTTATCTCTGATTTTTTAATCCAATTCTAAAAAACATTAGCAAGAGAATAAACTTTAAATATTTGTCATTCCCTATGAAATTTGATAATTGAATAAAAACATCTAATTAAAATGTAATTATTCACAATATAAAAAATTGGAACAAAGAGACATCTATGTCTTTCGACTACAATAAGGAAGAGCAATTCCCAATTCAAAAACGAAACCGAAAATACATTCAAACACACTGTATATAAATACTGTAAATGAATTAAAATTTTTGCATACTATTTAGAAATTGATTTTGTTTCCGGATTTTATTCTTCGTGCGTCTTAAATAAAGGATAGAGAACCAAAAGAGAAACATATTGAATTTGAGAAAATATTTTAAAAGAACTTACCTTACAGTGCTATGCTTAAACATTTTATAATTTTATATAATTTTGCGTTTGTTCTTTAGTTTTTTTTGTAGATTTAAATATATTATCAGAATAAAAAATTTGATTTCCATCCACAGGTTTCCCTCAAATCCAGAAATATTAAAAAAAGAACTAGAGGAGGGTAAGTTTGCTTTTTTTTGCACTTTGTTATATATTTGTTTATTGGCATAAATGCTCATACCCATGCATAAACATACTGTATAGGCAATAGCAATAATTCTATAAAACAGGTGAAATGTTGTACATATGTATGTATGTACATTTTGTAGAAAATTTTACGATAGAATTTTCAATAAAAAGATGAATTTATTGAAATTTATTAACAATCAAAAGTATTAGGTTTTGTTGAATTTAAAAATTGAAAATAGCATTAAATTTAACCTATTATTAAAAATAAAAATTTAATTTATTTTAAAATTGATCTTTTGTGTGAAAATTTTTATATTTTCAAAATAAAAAATTTTAATACAATTTTATAGCATTATATGTGACTTCGTGTAGGAGGTATTTTGTGCAAAATAATTATTTTTCACAATGTATGTATTTATACATATGTGTGTTTATTGCAGTATAATAATTTGATACCATATCAAACTATAAAAATAAAGGTGTATGAAACATTATTAACTTGCAAAAGAATACCGATGTCAAATATTTTATTGGAAATGAATCGAAGAAAATGGGTATATGTACATAGCAATTCTGTAATAATTACCAAAAAATCTAAAACATCTTTCCCATTCGGTTCAAATTACCTAAACCATAACCTTCTTTAGCACCTGCTCTGTTGATTTACGAAACTAATTACTAATTAATTACTAATATTTACACATATGTTTACTTCAAATAGAAAATATTTTTTAAGACCGAATAAAAATAATGTTCTTAATGCAGCCTATTTGTTAGCTTAGTTATTGATTATGAAAACTTACGAACACGAATTTCGTTTATGATTACTTACAAATATGAGAACCAAGTGTAAATGAGGCCAATCAAGTAAATTATGTAATTATATTGAAAACAAATAAAAACGTTTCAGTCGGTATAAACCAACTGAATAATACCCTGCACTTTGACAATCTGAGTTTAAAAATTTGTTTTTGGAATATTTAGAAATAACTTTGATTGCTAAATGGCAATTACTTTAACCTGCCAAACCACTCAATAGAAACTTCACGAATAATATGTCTGACCTGTAAGTGAACACACGACAACCGAGTTTCATTAATCTAGTCTTTATATTTTTTAAATACTTAAAATTAACTTTCGGACTTGAATGGCAGCTAGTCGAAACAGTGCAGCCATTCCATTAAAATTTTCAGAACATATGTTGAGTGTAATTGGACACATCTTTGTAAAATTCGATATAAATATCGCCATATTCTTCTTGAAATATTTAAAAAAGCCTCTTAAGTTGTAATCCGTTGTCCGAATTGTTCTATTTACAATAGCAGCCGTCGTGATATAAAGAAAAAAACTTGGGAAAGTTTGATATCGATTGCATTATTCGTTTTTAAGTTATCGTGCACATGGACGGACGGATGGATTGACATGTCTAAGTCAACGCAGAATTTCACGCTGAGCAAAAATTTATAGATATATGACTATACCAGAGACGACTCCTTCAAGTGGTTACAAACTCCATACCTAAGTGAATTTATCTTTCACGAAGTGCAGGGTATAAACATTTTTTGGAAAACAAAAAATAACAATCTCAATTTTTCGAAAAATTTAAAAAAAAATCAAATTGGGGCAATACAAAATCGACCATATTGTTAAAGTCTTGCATAAGATTATGAAAGTAACATTTGAATATTCACTGAAATTTCTTTTTTGAAGGATAGTAACTATGGCAAAAGACCGAACACGTCCCAAAAGTTAATTCAAACGAAAAAATTTAAATTTCGTGGAAATAAGTGTATAGAAAAACTTGAGATATACGCGTGCACAAACAGACAGACCGAGAAACATACAGAAACACTTCTTTCCAGAAATAGTTTGTTTACTTTTTCCTGGTACTGATAAAGGCATTCCCTCCAAAACTTTATAATGCAAAGTTTGGTGTCATCAAACAACATCCTTTATTATCCAGTCGGTAAAAATCAAATGAAATAAAACAGAATACTTGTCCTTGTGTAGTAAAAATTACATTTTCCTACGCAATTTGCAATGAGTTACCAAACCCCCGTTAGAAGAATGATAAAAAACCTTATAGAAAACTTCTATTATAATTTTTTTTCCCTGAATAATTGTGCTAATGAATACTTTATTTAATAATGTTTCTAAATTCATCCTTTCTTAAAAATATGTACGGATATTTACGCATGCACATACATTATGAATTTTTGATACACGGAACTTTAAGATTTTTTTATATTTTGGATTGAATAACAAAATGATTACTCTTAAGTACTAATGTAAAACATTAAATTAATACCCAGTAAATTAAAATGTCATTAAGATGTTTAATGTTTTACCAACCCCTTTTTAAAATCTCATAATAGGTTTTTTCTCAAGCTTTAAATACTTGGATTTTTAACATTTAACAAAATATGTTCAAAAATATCCCCCTTTTGCTAAAACAAAGAATTACAGGTGTACCATCATTATTTAGACCCATTATACTTTGGACTGAAAAGTCAAATTTCCAGATTTCTTTTTTATACTTTTATAATATTGATTTTGTTTTAAAATTAACCTTTACTCGTCAATGTAAGTAGTTTGAAAACATCCTTTGTCTAATGTTTCTGTAGTTTTTTTTTCATTTTTCACCCTCCTTTTTTATACATAATTAATAAACAAATAACGAAACAATAACAACAATATGCTCTCTAGAGTAAGAACTGAGAAATCCTCATTTTTTTATTTTACTTAACATCTATAGAAAAAATGTTAAATATTTAAAAAAAAATAACAAAAAGAAGAGCAAAAATAAAATTTATACCGTATCGTTCGCTTATTATCAAACAATATGATTCAATCTGTAACAATTCATCATAATAGAATAAATTATTTATACCAAGTTTTTGCATAATCTAATAGGATTTAAAAAGTATCTGAGAGTATTTTATGCTTTATGAGATTGCGAGAATAAAAGGAATAAAATTATGAAGTAAGAAAAGTTGGGAGTTAAGGATGAGACTGAGGAAATTCAGTATACGCTTTTTGATTTTCGAATGAAATTTATTATTTTGGGTTTTATAATAAAAAAAAATCTGATGTGATCAGCACATAACCGACCGCAATGTGTATTGTCTAGTTAAGTGAAAATGTTACAGAATATTATAAAAATGTCTGTTAAATACTTATTTCCAATTTTTAGGACATTAGTAAGTTTATAGTAGAATTTCGCTTTGTGCTACTCGAATTCTTTGAAATGCTCGCTAGTTAGTTTCGGTAACAATCAGAACTCAAATATCAAATTCCACCAATTCGTCCGTAGATATGGTGAAAAATGTAAAATCGGTCCGCAGATCAGTTTTCGAGCCTTGATTTTTCCAAAAAATTTATATGTTCATTGTTTTAATATAAAGAATTAAAATATTAAACTTCAATAAAATCGGTTCATCATTTTTCTTTATATACACAAAAATGTATATTTGGCCCGTAGTAAACGTCCAGTTGCTGACGCTTGATTTCTTCCAAAAGTTAGGAGGGTACGCGGACGGTCGAGCTGAGCTTATATATGAAATTTCAAGTAAATCGGTTGAATATTTTCTTTAAAATGATCAAAAATGCAAAACACGCTCGCTAAAAAGTGCAGTTCCGGAGGCCTGATATATCCCAAAAGTTGATCAATCCGTGCCATTGTCGAAATAAACTTACATATAAAATTTCATCAAAATTGGTTCAGCCGAACTTGAGATACACGCGTGCACACACAGACCGACAGACCGACGGACCGACAGGTTGCTAAAAATAGTTTACTTATACTTCCCTACTATAGAGAAGTGCATTCCCACCGAAAACTCGATATGCAAAATTTGTTGCCATCACATAACCTACCGACCATAATTGTATACACAATACGGTCGGTAATTAACATAAGAGTAAAGAGATCAGTTTGGAAATATTAGAATAAAGGTAAAATCGATAGCAATAAATTTGATTTTTATTTAGAAAACAACGTTTTTTGCAACATAAGTATTTTTCATATTTACCAGTTTAAATTTCGAACTTAAATTTACTATATAGGTTTCAGTAATTCAAAAGATCTTCTATGAAAATATTTGACGGATCGATTCGTAATCTTGATATTTGAATATAATTTTTTAAGATTAAAGAAATGAGTCGTCGGTCTTCTGATTTACGGGAATACAAATTAGTAAACTCGGGTAGATTATAGTGATATTTCAGTATATAAATGAAAACTTTATTTATCTTAAAATGTTAGAACCTTAAATGTTCATGACTTTAAGAAGCGGTGACTTGAAGAGTGGAGTAGTTTTTTTAATAAGACTTACTTGCCCACAAAACTTCAATTTTACATTTTGGAGATTGTTTAGTTTTGTAAACGAAAGAACAAACATATTTTTACCAAATTTTTTTAGGAATGTGGTATAGTACGTATTACATCAATTAACGGTTCAAAATTACTATTAATATATTAAATAAATGCGACATATCATGAAATTTACTATTAAGTTTTTAAGGATATTAAAAGGATATATAAATTTTAAGAAGAGCTTTGCATGGTTTAGATCATTATATTTTTCTAATTTAAATGGGTTTTAACGTTATTATCTAGCCAATATCAAATTTCTACTACCAATACAAGTCGTCTATTATTAAGTGTGATCGTAAATGAATGCAAAAAATCAAACGTGAATTATACTCAAATATCAAGTTTTAGTAAATTTAATATGGTGAAACCGAGCATCGACTGTTTTATGTTATTGTAATGTATTATGAGTTAAAAAAAATTAGATTTTCAAAATTATTATTCAGACCAAATATAGTGTGTACGCAATCAAATTTTTATTTAAAATGAATAAACCATTTAAATCTTCTTAAATCTAATATCAACGAAAGAATTCGTGACATTTTTATTGAAAAAATATTAAAAACACTTTCTAAGAATAAGAGTTAGTTGAAAACCTATATGTGAACGTTTCTTGATTAGACAATAAAACAAATTTCTTCAATAACATAAAGCATTGACGAACCTGTTAAATAAAAAAGAAATTAAATAAACCGCGATTTTTCAAAATTAAAAATTATTCAATAATTTGCATATTTTATTGGAAAATAATAATCTGAAAAATTGTTTTATTAGAATGATGATGCCCTCTAAATAAAATATGAATTGCCTTGTAGGCAGTTTAAATTTTTACCTCCATATTTTGTCCCAGGATTTTTAAATTTTCCATTAATTCACTTTTATTTTTTTTATTAAATATTCTGATTGTACGGCATTTGAGTTACAATATCATTAATTTTTTTCAGAAATTTATTTACAGTTAATATATCTACATATTATAATTTATAATTTTTACTTGAGGATAAATAAAATTTTGTGAATATCTTGTATGATTTTCTGTTTTTAAAGAGAGAGCTTATCAAAGTCACGCATCAACATTACATCTTAATCAACATTATCATCATAAAATTGAATACCCTGATTCGACAACAAATTTAAATCATCATCAAAATTTAACACAAACTATTCCCAGAACTTCACCTTCTGACCTTCACTCATTTTCATCATATAACAATTCGGCGTATGCAGCAGCATTAAGACCAGCCGATTCAACAATTGTAAGTTCTACAGAACCTGAAATTGGTTTTGGTGGTTTATATCCAACTTGTAGTCCAACTTTGAATAGTTCCTTGAATCAAAGGAGAGGTTCATTACAACTTTGGCAATTTTTAGTATCACTTCTAGATGAACCAGCTAGGTAAGTATTAAATTTAAATAAAAAAAAACACGAAACTATATATTTGTTATATTTATAAATAATTTTAAATTTTAGTTCAGGCTGTATAGCATGGACAGGAAAGGGAATGGAATTTAAGTTAATTGAACCAGAAGAAGTTGCACGTCGCTGGGGTATTCAGAAAAATCGTCCTGCTATGAATTACGATAAATTATCAAGGAGTTTAAGATATTATTATGAAAAAGGAATTATGCAAAAAGTTGCTGGAGAAAGATATGTTTATAAATTTGTCTGTGCTCCAGAAGCTCTTTTTAGTATGGCATATGGTCATCATGATAATAATTATACTACAAATAATAATACAAATAGCAGTAGTAGTGGCAATGGCAGTCAACTTCCTAATTCAAATTTGAGTGGTAGTAACATTAATAATAAGTTAAATATAACAACACTGATTGATGAACACCAAAATCAACAGCTTCAACATCCTGATGATTTGTGTGCCACTGGTAAATTGAATTCATTGTATTATAATAATCCATTACATAATAAATTTTAAAGTAAAAGTTTTTTAATATAAGTGAAATTTATTATATTATATTATTAATAATTAATTAAATAAATTGTTTTATTGTAAAATCATGATTGCAAATTAAATTATAATGAAAATTTTTCAAATTTGGTCATATTGTCCAAGTTTTAACGCGACTTAAGGAACAACTATTAGTTTTGTAAGGAAAAGTTATGAAAGCTGTAATTGTTGTACCGTGTAATTGTAGTATCTTGCTGTAATTCAGATTGATGTGGCAGGTCGACTTAACGAAGATCAAAAAATTTGGGGCTGTGTCGGCTAACACTACAAATGCAAGAATTGTTAAGTTTAATCATGCTGAAAAAATCAAGAGAGAGTTATGAGAGTTAATAAAATGACCGCGCTGTTTGCACTGTATTAGATATCGGCGGACTTTTGGGGTAAACGTCCTACTAAAGTGGAAAGTTAAATAAAGCTTTGCCTGAAGAGCTTTAGGTCTAGGAATTAGTTTCTCAGATTTTTTTGCACAAAAATGTTATTTATTTTCAAAGCCAAAAGAACAATTACATTAATTAAAATATTGCCCATCGCTAGTCACTACTTTTCCCAACAACATAAATAATACAACGAATCATAAGAATGTCATGAAAGCAGATGATACTAGCCTTTTGGAAACTTTTAATTCAGTAACAATTATTTGAGTGGAATAAACTTTGAAAAGCATTATCCAGACACAAGAAGAAAATATTAGGGTAAATACGCATTTGATCTTCGTTTAGGAAGCTCAATTAATCGGTGGATAAGTCTTCATGGATTATGCTTTGCGACGGTTATACAATCTTGCAATGTACCTAGTAAAAGTAAACCTGAACTAAATTTTTGTACCGGTGCTTGAAAAACGTCACTCTATTGCTTACTTTGTAATTCATATAAAAATTTTTTTAAATGAGTAACAAAGTTTTTGAATGAATCACAAAATTTGATTTTTTGGAAAATAAAGCTTTTTTTGAACCTTAAATTTGTACATACAGTGTATTTGGTAACTATATCTTCAAATTCATTATGGTTGCGGAAACATATTTGACTTTTTTTAAAACTCTTGTTGAAATTAAGTTTTACAGACTAGATACACACATTTTATCAATATGAACAATTTCTAATTTTAAAATCTTTCGTCTTAATGCGAAGCTTTATTTTTAAATCATTTCTTACTGTTTTATTTACGTCATTTAACAAAATAAGCTTTTATTAAGAGATGGCAACATTCTGTAATTTATTTTCAGATGATATTTCACAACAATGTGGCTGTGAGTCAAAATTAGATTTATAGAAATAGTAGATTAATTATCAAATTAGTAAAATGTGTGAAATATTGATCTATTTCCGTAAAATCGAAACTGCAATAATTCGTGAGTGGTGACACAAAAGAGACAATTATACACACTTTTCCATACGAACATATTGTATAAAATCTCAAAGCATGTGTGCATGTAAATATGTTTGTACGCAGGATAGGATGCAATTATAATACTAGCTCCTTTATTATTATTCTAGCTCCTTTATTACTAAAAGTTGTATACCTACCATTCATAGAATTATGTCTCAAATGCATGTTCGGGATATATTCGAGGCCGGAAGTGTCATTGAGTTACATCAATTTTCCACTGTTTGTATTTGTCGTTATTCATAATTTTTCTTACTATTCTAACTGCCGGGCAGATTATCATCTTTAAAACTATATATTTCTCTTGGAATAAAATTTAGAAACAACTACTTACCCAAATTTTTTCGAAATTAGGAGTTATTGAGGTTTAACTTCTACTTAAAAACAAAAGTTTTACTAATTAACAATTCTTTAAACTATGTCTCGCTTAATACAATATTGATCTCTTTACGCATTTGTCACGTTTGTTTAGGATCAGAAATACTTCATTCTTGGTGTTATATTTGCATTAAGACAGTTATGATTTGATATACCCTTTATAATTTATACTATAGGTAAATAAACTATAAAAATAACACTGAATAATTTGTTTGTGAATTTGTTTTTTACAATTGGAAAATGTGTTTGATTTTCTTTATTAATTTTATTGCATGTTTCATCACATTATTAGGATTCCTTAAGTATCATCGAATTTATTAATAAAACAAGCATAAGAATAAATTATATAAGAGAATTTTAATCAAAACTATTTTATAGATTTTTTTCAAATGTTAAATTTACTTTTTGAATTGATAGAAAAAAAATAAAGAATAAAATCTATAAATTATTAACATTTTCCTATGAATTTCTTTTGTATTTGAAATTCTATAAAATGTAGGAAGTATATATTAATTTGTCATACACATATATACATACATATATATATAAATATAACACAACATAATGTATATAGATATACAAGCAATTTATATGAATTTTCTTACTCTGTCGTACAATGACTGCTTTATTTGTATTCAGTATCATAATTTACGTACAGAATAGTAAGTATGATAAAGCTATTTTAAAACTTGTGGCAATAAATAAACGTGTATCTTGTATGTACAAAGGTATATAATACAACTAAATAGAAGTTTAATTTTAGACAATTTTACTTTTCTATTCAAAGAATAAAAATTTTAATATTTTTATTTAGTTCATTATTTTCATGTTTTGTTTTACTAATATAATATGTGTAATATTCAAAAATATGTACAAAATACATTTATATATACATATATATATATCGGTATATATTTGCAAAACATACAAAATTTAATAATATCCACAATGACTAAGTACAGTAAGTACATATGTATGTGTATATGTAAATAAAGATCAATATAGGTTTGCTTTTGTTTTTATTTTTCTCTTGTAATCAGGTACCAAATTCAATTACATTTTTGTTCATTTCAATTAATCATTCACCTTCACTTTTAATGTGTTTTGTAATTTTATGATTCGAAATTATTTATTTGGCAGGTGGATTCTTTTTAGTTTCTGTTTGATTGTTTAGTTGATTGTTGGTTTGTTTAAATATTATAATTATAATAAAATACATCAATATAATTCTTATTTTTATATTTTATTAAATGCGCCATTATGTAAAAATAAACTGATTTAATCATCGCTTTCAATTCTTTGTTTTTTAACTTCTCCACCATCTGAGTCGGAACTATCTGCTGCTGATTTTCTTTTTTCAGCTTTTGTACTTAATGTTTCAATATATTTTTTCAATTTATCTGGTTGTGGACTATAGGCCCAATGAATCAATTTTAAATGTATATCTGATGGTTCACCATTCTCTTTGAATAATTTTAAATCATCTTTTTTCATTTCTTCACATAATTCATTTACATTTTTATTTCTTATTATATCCCATGATGTTTCGTCATCATCTTTTGGATACATTGTTCGTAAATGTTTATAATTACCTTTGGCTTTTTCACCGCTATATGCGCTAAGAAACTCAGCGGCCAATTCATCATTGGGTTCCGGTAATTTTGATATTATTGAATATTGTAAATATGCTTTATTTAAACGAATTAAATTATCTCTTTCAAATTTCTCCAGGAAATCCTCTAAAATTTGAACACCTTCTTTTATAGCTTTTATTTTATCTTCATTTTTAGTACCAGATAAAACACGTTTTGAACTGCCAATCAAACCTTTAACAGCTAATTTTTGATATTCTGGATCACGTCCTTCTAGAATTCTAAAATTGTAAAAAAAAAGTAATAGTTTTATTATTTTTATTATTCATTTATTAAAAAATTAAAATTTTTTCAAAACTTTACATAAGAAATTAATTGTATAAATAAAATAAAAATATGTATATAAGTGTATGTACGAATAAAATTTGTTTTGTGCAAAATAATGGAATAAAGCCAGATTTTATTATTTTAAAACGTTTTTCTTAATTTTTTTAAATAGAAACGCGGGCGTTTTTGAAATATGTGCTTTTTTGTTTGTTTTAATCAGTAAAAAAATTTTATATGTATATACATATATATTGTATAATTTATATATGTATATAAAATTCTAAAATGAAAAATAAATTTAGGAAAAACAATTTTCTTCAATATTTTTAAAATTTAATGTTATACTTCTAATTATATCTTTATATTGTATCAAATTTATTGTATCATGTGTTTTTAATATTACAATATATTTAAAGTAAATGGTAAACGACCTTTTACTAAAAAGATCACTGCCTTCATTATTTTTATAATATATATACTTTTTGAAAGACATTTTATATTATTTTTTTAATATTATTATTAGCTTATTAACTAATTGTGCTTAAATAGAAAGTGATGACTAAAACTTATTTTATATACGTGCATGCAAATGTTTATTCTAATAATGGGTTAGTAATGTCCTATTAGCAAATTTGAATGCTTTTAAATTATAGAATATGTAGAATAAAATAAAAAGATATTCTAAATTTGAATTTTTATTTAAAATTAACTAAATGAAAATTCGTTTCGTTAACGAATTCTTACTGCATTGCCATAAAACTTTTCATAAAATACAATTTCTTAAAATATTCAAAATTGTTTTGAAAATGCTAGAATTTGAGAAGAAAATGCAAGTGTTTTTATGTTTGGTATTGTGTCAAAATTTTGGAAAACACTTGTACTTGTAATGTAAATGATAAAAACAAGGGGATGTAAGATTGAGGCAAATAAATTTAATAAATTTTAAGAAAAAATTTTCTGATATAGACTTATTAATATTTTAATGTGAAATTAAAATTTCTGTAAATACGTTCATAATTGGAACTTAATAAAATTTGTATAGGGGTTGAAATATAAATTTTGCATGTAATTGTTTACATTACATTTTTAAAATTTCTTCAATTCATAACTCTGATGAATAGAATGAATTTTATACACAATATATTTCTGTATAAAATTCATACGTTTGGAAGTTAATGAAACTAATTATAAAATGTATTTTCTAAAATTACAAATAAATTCAATATACCTACAGGTATAACAAAACACAAATAGAATAAATTACATACTTCACCAAATCCACTATGCTATAACATTGGCCTTTTACATTTTTACTTTAAACTTTGAAAAAAGCACACAAAAAAAATTTATGTGGATATTAATATAAAGTAATTCCAAGATTTGAGATTTCAGAGTTATAATTCAGTTTTCAGGAAATAAATATTTGGAAATGAATTCGAAATTTTCCAAGTCAATAGTAATTGTCTTTTAATAAAGTTCGAATTCACTGATTCGCAACTACTGTATGACACATTTAATTAAATATTTTCTTTTTCGGCCAATTTCAAAGTTTTGTTTCAGCTTCTGAATAGATTTCTTGAAACTATTAAGCAATATTTTGGGATTTCGGTATGTTTTCTAAAAAAAATATTTGTAGTTTGAGCGCTTTAGAAAGATCGTAAATTTGTTTTCCTTGAACTAGTATTGAACGTTTGACTAACTTTTGAGTGCCGTATTAATTGTGATACTTGTGAGTAGCATATTAGTGTTTTTTACCGACCGTATATTGTAAACAATAGGTAGGTTATGTGATGGCAACAGATTTTGCATATCGAGTTTTCGGTGGGAACGTACTTCTCCATAGTAGGGAAGTGTAAATAAACTATTTTTAGCAACCTGTCGGTCTGTCGGTCTGTGTGTGCACGCGTGTATCTCAAGTTCGGCTGAACCGATTTTGATGAAATTTTATATGTAAGTTTGTTTCCTCCATGGCACGGATCGATCAACTTTTGATATATATCAGGCCTCGGGAACTGCACTTTTTAGCCTGTTTTACATTTTTGAACATTTTGAAGAAAATATTCAACCGATTTACTTGAAATTTTATATATAAGCTCAGCTCGACCGTCCGCAAAAATTCGTATGTTTTGGAAGAAATCAGGCATCGGCAACTAGACGTTTACTACGGGCCAAATATACATTTTTGTGTATATAAAGAGAAATGATCAACCGATTTCATTGGAATTTAATATATGAACTCCTCGTATTAAAACAATGAACATGTAAATTTTTTGGAAAGATCAGGGCTCGAAAACGGATTTGCGGGCCGATTTTACATTTTTCACTATTTTGAAGAAAGTATTCAACCGATTTACTTGAAATTTCATATATAAGCTTTGCTCGATCATACGCAAAAATTCCTAACTTTTGGAAGAAATCAGGTATCAGAAACTGGGCGTTTACTACGGGCCAAATATACACTTTTGTGTATATAAAGAGAAATAATCAACCGATTTCATTGAAATTTAATATATGAATTCCTCATATTAAAGCAAAGAACATATAAATTTTTTGGAAAGATCAGGGCTCGAGAACTGATTTGCGGGCCGATTTTACATTTTTCACCATATCCACAGAACAAATTGATGGAATTTTTTGAAATTTGATATTTGAGTTCTGATTGTTACCGAAACTAACTGGCGCGCATTTCAGGGATTTCGGGTAGCACAAAGCGAAACTCTACTAAGAGCCAAATTTACATTTTTCTAAGTATGTTAACTATAAGCTTACTAATGTCCTAAAAATTGGAAAGAAGTATTTAACAGACATTTTTATAATATTCTGTAACACTTTCATTTAACTAGACAATACACAATGCGGTCGGTTATGTGCTGACCACATCAGATTTTTTTTAAATTTAAGCATATATGATATAAATTTTTCTATTATTCATTAACTATTTATTTATAAAATTTTTTGTTATTTTAACTAAAAACTAACAAGTTAATCAAAAATGCTCGTTTAATTAGTTTTTAAAATAAATACGAAAACTAATAAATTTTCACCTTTAGCCTTCATCAAATCAGAACAAAATAAATATAATTACACACATTTAATATGTAATGTATTTACATATTTATATACCAGTTCGTTATAATTATATTAAGTGAGAATCTATAATATTACACTATTTATGTATATATTTAATTTGTTATTATATTAACAATTATAAAGAAAATAAAAATTCGTAATGTTGTGTAATTTTTTATTTAATATTTTCCTATTCAAAAAAATAACAAAATATAAATAATAACGGATTTTATATTTATTTGAAAAAGCTTTATTGAGGTACGAAAATTTGAATATGTTATACATACACATGCTCATATGTATATATGCTTTTATCATCGTCACATTATATGTAATATTATATTTATATATATTTATATTACTATTAGACAATAAACAGCAAAAAAAAAGCTTCGTATACTAAAGCACTTTGCAACAATAAAATGTGTATAATATATACATACATAAATTTATTTACAAACACACTTTTGCTTGTATGTGTAATTCAATTTAATTCAATAAGTTTTCAACTTACTTCAATGTCCTTTCCGCGGCCTCTTTATCCTTAAAGCCTAATCCAGGAACTGTTTCAACTTTATCATCTCCATCGGTTTTTGCATTTTTGTTAGCAGCACCACCACCATTCTCTTCCAACCATTTTTCAAAAACTTCTATTGCCTCATTTATATTTTTAACTTTATCAGCAGCTTTTGTCACTAAAATGAACACACACAAATATTATGTATAATTTTAAGAAAGTTTCGAATATATTTTTTATAATTTATTTATTTTTTTTTTAATATTTGTTTTTCAATAATATTAATATAGAAAATATTCCTTTCTTGCATTAGTATAATTTTCTTTAAACTATTAACTGGAAGTTATAATATATCACACAATTATTCATAGATTATAAATTTAAATGTATGTATATATATTATAATATTTTACTTTTATATTAAAATAAAATACATACTAGATAGAACTCTTTTGGCACGTCCTAAAAGACCGCGTACTGTTAACTTTCTATATTGCATGTCATGACTTTCAAGAAGTTGAAGAGTTTCTTCAGCTTTTTCCTTGTCTTTAAAACCGAATTTCGATTCACCAGAATTATTATCTTCACTACCCATTTTTTTTTATTAAAATATTATTTTGATAATTTCTAAAATTATTTTTTAATTTTATAAAATTTTTAATTAAATTGGAATATTGAAGGAACTTTGAAAACAACCGTTCTATTTCTCAATCAAGCACAAACTAAATTATTAAACGCAAAGAATTCTCGGTCAAACTTGAAACTATCTGGAAATTTTTATTAAATATTATTTTTAATATTTATAAAAAAAGTTTTGATACTTTTTTTATTCTCTTAAAGTTTTATAATCTGTATACATATATATTGAGAATGTATGTATGTGCATATATTTACTTTTTGTTTGGGTAAATATTTAGAAGCTTTATTAGTGAAATAACATATCTAAAATATAGAAATGATGTAATTAAAATGAATCTTTCTTTTTTGTTTTGTTGTTGCCTATATATACAAGTTTCATTTAAGTATAAATAAGTTTTACATTTTAAGTACATATGTATGTAAATATTGTGTATGTCATACAAAATTGGTTTTAAACATGTTTGGGTTCTTGTTCAAAACAAAAAAAAACTGAGTAATTTTTTTTTCTAACCTACTGGTTTATTTTGAATGTGATAAGAATATATTCATTTTTTACCGGCAAATTGAAAAACTATACAAGTAGGTACTACTTAATGGGAATATTTGTGTGTATGTATGTATGAATGTATAATTATGTTAACATAAATCGAATAAATATTATAATGCTTTTTATAATAAAACCATTGAGAATTTATTTATAAAGGTTGTTATAGGTAGGCAGGTATAATAAAAAAAAATTTAAAACTCCACACTATTGTCAAGAATACTGAAAAGAAAAAGGTTCAATGCCAATACCAAAAATTTGAATTTTGAAATGATGTCACTGTATCATTAGTAGGGTAGAAGAAATGAAATAGAAAAAAAAAATTAATTTGTATAATATTTTTTCCGGAATCTAATACATTATGTATGTAAAGATATTTTAAAGATATATACACACACATACATGACTTATTTGCTTAGAATGCGTGTGTATATTGTACAATTTGGAATGTATCTTAGATATTATGTGACTATAGTTAATATAGATGTGGATAATATTTTTGTAATTAATTTAAATAATGCCCGCCCTTGAATTTAATATTGGAAAGTGCTACATACACATACACGTATGCATATATAGATATACTTAAATTTAAGTGTGAAATATGTATAAATAATTGAAATTATGTATATGTACGATATGAGTGTAATTTACTGTAGTTGAAAAATTTTTGTCAACTAGATAATATTATGACAGATTGTTGTTAAGAAATAATTGACTTTTTAAAAATTCATAATTAGGTCTAGGGATCATTAAATGGGACGTTATTTCCCAAATCTTCTAAATTATAAAGCAGACATTATAGGGTTATCGGCTTTTATAAATTTATCCACTTTTTAATTACATTATCAATTAGTTATCTCACAAAAATATAAAGCTCCATGCCAGACGATTATCTTAAAATTGTTCTACATAATACAAATTTTGCCATAAGAATTAAAGAGTTTAAGGAGAGCAAATATTAGCCTCTGAATATGACCTGATCGGTATGCAAGCTTTGTGTTTTGTTTTTCATTCATAACAAGTTCTCCCGCCTCCCTTTTTTTTCTAATAATGTACAAAATTTTTACATATTAAGCAATAAATATAATTGCATAGTTTTAGGGTGAGAATAACAGTTAAATTAGAAATTGTAAAAGCTTAGATTTTCGGAATAATTATAAGAGTTGAAAAATGTGATTTTGCTAATTTTGAGACCCGTTAACTTAGAAAGTAAGTGGAACAAAAATTTTGTTTCGGCAAAACAGTTCGTTATTTAATTTTTACAAAAAGTTCAAAATCATAGACTTTTACCACTTGTCATCTTATAAAGGTATAAAATAAAGGTTAATTTCAACCGCTATTTTGTTGTTGTAATATGTTTGTCAATACTATTGAAAAATGGTATTTTAAAGACTTCCCAAGATTCATTGTATTTAAAATTTAAGCATTCTACTTTGGAGAATGTAGAAGTTTTATAAATAATCGTAGAGACGAAAGAACAAACAAAGTGGAACTAATAAACAATTTGTTTTTGAATATTGCTTTTTTCCAATTTGTGCTATAAAAGATAAATACAGGAAGGATGTACAATATAGTATACATGACATCAGAAAAAACAAAATGCAATAAATTTTGGAACAGGTTTTTTCATTTCAAAATTTTTCGAAATTATTAGCGCATAATTATAACTACATATAGATTAATAGATGAAATTAGTGTAGGTGTTTCTTACATTATACATATGTACATATTATAACGTTATTAATACACAACCAATACATTAGATCGTTTATGATGTCTGTGTTCAAATTGACATTTGATCAAATCACAATACATTTGGATATGAACACAAATCCTTATTCTAGCATTAAAAGTTCAAAATAAACAAATTTAAAAGGTAAAGGCAACAAAAAGAATTTTCCCGGGTTTTCTATAACAACTTGGATTCAAAATATCTTAACTTGGTCAAATTAGAGCAAAGGTTACTCTCTTAACTTAATAACATTGTGTTGTTAAATTTGCAGTAACAGACTTTTTCTAATTTGCACTGAGGTGACACTTTGAGATTTCGCATTGAAATGCTGCTGCTTGCGAGGATTTTTCTATCACCACCGTGGAAAAAAGAAGTTACAATAGTTTCTGCATAAAATAATAAGCAAAGTTATGAAAACTTGAAAACTTATTTTTTGCATAACAACAATAATTCGAATATTTTTGGAACTATTCAATTGTCTAAAAATAAATTGTTGTACTCGAACGTTCTTAAACTTTATTTTTTTTTTGTTGTTTGAAAAGTTATGTTTTTGCAAGGTGTTCATTTAGTTTATATGGTTTTTATTAAGCTTTGATGTTTCATTTTAGAATCTATATTTCAATATTCAATTAAAATTTCAATGTCAATAAACTAAACTAACATTAACGTATGTAGGTGCAAATAACAATGATATCATGTCATCCAAAATAAAATGTTTTTTCAAAAAAAGCTGAAAGCATAAAAATAAAGCTTTTAAATTCAACCGTTAATATCTACATAATATTATGTGAATTTTGTGTAGAATGGACAGTAATGCTTTATTAAATTCGCGCAAAATTTTTATCTTTTACGAAAGAAATTCGGAAAATCTCGTAAAGTTTTATAAAAGTTTTTATAGTTGTATCTCGCCTAACATTGAGACGTTAACTACTTTGTCAATAAAATTTTGAATAATTTATAAAATAATATTATTATATTATACAGCTATTTTGCTAAGAGGAACTGGAGTACCATATACATAAATAAAAGAAAAATTTATCAAACCTATGGTTTATAATGTAGCATTTTTCCGTGCAACAACTGAAAATACTGCTTTTAAAAACAATCTATCTGCTTTGTACTACATTTTTAAAATTACTTTAATTCTACATTATAAAATCACGTTCATATACGAATATATTTCAAAGATTGCATACATTTGGGATGAGCGATGTTTGTAATCGTTAAAATAAAGCAAAAACAAATTGAAAGAGGCGTTAAATTTTCTTCTAAAAAATTTTCTTCTAACGTAATGAAATATTTATTAATGTCTAAAAGCTAGTAGATTTTAGATAACGGCAAATTTTAGCGGTCATATTATTTTTGTAACCAACAACTACATTTTTCATAAACAATATTACAATAACTTTTCACGTTATATGAGTTTTCAACGATTGTGAAAGAAAATTCATCTCGTCATTCAGAAATAATATTTACTAAAAAATATTCAGTTGTGAATTAGTAAATAAAAATATATGTACATACATGTTAACAATCGGCTATTTGAAAACTTATTGATTGTGAATATAAAAAATTTCCCTTTAATGAAAGACAAACGTACATTTTTTAAATAAAAGCTTTTAGTTATGTGATTTTACTATTAGAAGCTTTTTGCACAGTTTATTTTTCCAAATTTTAAGTTAAGGCAATTGTTGAACATAATGTGTTATATAAATTGTCGCAAAGAATTTTTAATTTAATTTCGCGTTGAGTAAATTATGCTAGATTAGATGAAAACAATTTAGTTTCATGCCAAATTTCAACTAAGTTTATGTAATTCAAAGCTAATTTGAGTAAAAAGAAGATTTTTACTATTTTATCTATATATACGTAAATTAACATAATATGTATGTATGTATAAAAATGAATTTCTCTCAATAAACGAAGAACTTAAAAATCTGTCAAGTTTTTTTTTATACCTATGAAATCAAAATAATTTTCAAGTTTTTCTGTTATAAATTCTTATAAAAGTGATTTTTGGTAAATATAAACGTGTGTTACCCAAACCAAGAGAAATAAGTCGGCGGTTAAGAAGTAGAAAGCATTAAGTCAGGAAACTGTGTTTTGAGTAAATTCAATTTGAAATAATCGTAAAATTGTAAAACTAATCAATTAGTGCAATTTGATTGGTCCCTTAATTTTTGGATTTATAAGCTATATTCTGGATTTGCATGATTTTTTGCCACAACAAAGATTATATTATTCTGATTTAATTCATATATGAAATCCGAATTCTCAAAAAATGCACTTAGTGCTTTCTGCCTTTTAACCGACGAAGTATTTAATATGTTCAACAAAATTGAAGGTAAGAGAAGAAGTTGCTCAAATTATTAAAAAAAAATAACATATTACTAATAATAAAACTGATTAAATATTAATTTAAATGTTATATTTTAAACCGTTAATAGAACAAAGAATTTTCTACCGTTGGTAGAACAAAGTTTTTTGTACCGTCACAAAGTATGAAGTCATTGTCTGCACCCACCTAATCGTTACAAACTTCGTTGTCGGTTTAATAGTTATAACGAAAGAATCTTATGTAAGATTCGTGCATTCATGCATACTAACCTAACCTTTGAACTCAAATATTAAAGGTTTGAAGTTTATTTTTCATATAAAAACGTTACCGTCTTCTTGGTTCTACCAGAACCGGAAGAAATATATGTATATAACTATTTTTTTCAGCTAATCCTTCGCATACGCGTTTATGCTTGAAATGTTAAACGTTTATGCTATTTTATTTTGCTACAAAAGGACCACATCAAATGTATATTTCAATATTTGAAATTTTGATATCAAACATAATTGCCTCGTTACCCAATTCGCTTGATCCTTATTTTTCAACTATTTATCTTATAAAATTTTCGTATAAAACTTTTTAGATCTTTTTGTCAATGGTCAATCTTTAATCAAAATCTTTATTATGGTAAAATGCACACACTTTGTTTGCAAGACTCTATGCAAAACTCGTATTCATTATGCTAAATTTTACATTAAAAATGCAAACATCCCAGGACTGGTTTTTTTTACTCGTATATCAATGTCTGAATTATAGCACGGAAATATTATCCTTTACATTTTGATTGTTGTGTAAGCTATACGCTTTTGTTAGTTTTGTCATACAATTCCTGCTATTATTTATAAAAAAAAATAAAAAACAAGAAGTGTATTTAATAAATTTATGTGTATATAATTTAGTGTGTATAAGTATGTAACGTTTTATTAATATTATTGAAATTGTGAAAGATATCTTTTTATATTTTCTCGAACTCTTAAACTTCTGTAAAAAATAAATTAGTAAATTTCAATTATAATTGCACTGATACTAAATTATTACCTTTGATTAGTAGTATGTGAAATGAACTTCGTTCCAATACTTCCAACAATTTTCTGCTCATACATGTATAAATGTATTGCCAGTGGAATTGCTAAGGCTACAGTAAGTTTATTCCAATTTATTCCTTTAATATAAGTTTGAAATCTTGATTTCGTTGATTTCTTTTTATAGTGCGTCCATGCGATTCGCACACAACATGCCATTCCATAGGATAAGGGTAAAAACTTTGGAAAAAATGTATAAGATATTCCACTTAAAAACGCAGCAATGGTTGTATTTCTGTGTAAATTTTCGATCCCATGGAAATTATTTAGCCAACAGTTTATAAACTAAATTGTATGTAAATATATATATTAAGATATTAGATATTTTGAAGTATAGAATAACAAATATAAAATATATGTATACCTTACCCTAAAAATTCCTACATAAAATAGTAAAAATTTTGTTGTTTGAAAATCAAAAGTTTTAAATTTTTTAATAAGATGTAATGGCAATCCTTTTACTTTATTACTGGACCCAATTTCTTTTACAATATCTAAGCAGAGTCCAGCAATTCCGTAAAATTTTAATCCATCAAAAAAGTATGTTTTGCATGATCCATTGTGCGAGCATAAATTTCTATGACAAATTTCCTTCTGCTCAAATGATATTTCATTTAGGGCTTCTTTTTGCAAACCGGAAGCAGGTTTAATGAACCAATACATATTTACTTTATGTTTTAAAACATTTTTTATTATATAACAACTGCAAGCCATAAATAGTAGCGTTTGCAAGAATTTCGATTGAATGATTAATTTTGTAATTGGATCACACTTCATTAGTGTTAAAATTTCTATAACCTTAAAGTAAAAAAAAAGATATTACTGTGTATTTGTTATATTTGGTTAACATTTTTCAATTAGATTATTTAACAATAAGCTTTGATAAAACTATGAAATTTACAACATATTTTTAGAAAAAATTTAAACACCATAAATTTTGATTGAAAAGAACGTAAAAAGGTGGTCAACGATTGAGCCTACAGTTACCATTTTAAAGAACAGAGTTTACGTGTAAATTCTATTCCGACAGAACATATGACGTCCATCGAACTAAATTTGAAAATGGCTTAACACCATTATAATATATTATAGTAACATTGTACAAGTAAATATTTCACTTTAATATTTTTTACACAATTGCGGACTGTGCTACCGTTATACTGTAGAACTCTCTGACCACCACAACAATACTAGCAGTTTTTTTTAATATATACTAAAGTGCAAAGAATTATTTGTATCTGTGAGATATAACGTGAACCGAAAATAAAGAAAATAACAATATGCCATGAATTATAGTATCTATACCATCATCATTGAGAATATAACACAAAAAAGCGCTGTCTTCAAATAGCTTTTGCTTCTTTCCCTTATATAGTATAAACAAATGTATGCCATATATAAAAATATATGCAGTCATGTTTTTTTTTTGTATAATATATACATACTCACATTCACAATTATACATGAAGGCCAAACTTTTATTTCATTCCCATAAATCGTATGGTAATTAAAAATTGTTGTACACAGGTATATTTATATTAGATACATACATATCAAAAAGATACATCTACCTTTATTCTATTTTATTGTTTTTTCACGTTCAGTTATAAATGTTAACTACATACATAGCTGTAATGTACAGCAAAGGGGTGTTCATTATTTACGTTTAAAGAACTTTTATTGCGTTATGACGGTGAATATTGCTTTTCATGACAAATCGAATAAAATATTGTGGTAAGGTAGTTTAAAATTATATTTTGTACTTGAAAATTATCTTGGACTTACATACAGGTAAATTACATACATACAATATATGTACATATCTTTTATTAATTTTCGAGTAACATTGTGTAATTCTGATTTCTTTACCAAATTCACGTTATTTTGAAACGATAACATTATAAATAAAAGAGCATCAAATACCATTAAAAATTGAAAAAAAGTGTTAAGTTTTCCCAAACAAAAATTAAAATTTGTTTAATCTTTGATTAAGGCTTTTAATACTCGTAGCTCTTAAATGTTATTGCAGAATGTTGTTATCGTAATTTTATTTCAATTATGAAATATTTATATGTACATATGTAAACTCGTAGATTGTAGCATTGCAATATATTGGACCTTTGACTTCTTGGTAAAATAAGTATGCATATCATAAGTAATTTTTATTTTGTCAACTTACCATTTCAAATGCAGATATTGATGCCAAGTTTAAAACATATTCTGGCGCTAAATTCACATATATGCTGGATATCATTACACAAGGTAAAAAGATTGATGTTAAAAAATTACGTGGTCCAAAACATTTCCTTAAAATTTTAATGTTAATCAAATTTTAGTAATATGTATAAAAATAAGGTGATGCAGTTATAAAACAAAGATTTCAACAGCATGTATTTGACCGAAATTTGTAGTTAACATTAAATTTGTAGTTATTGTAGTAATTTGTAGGTAATATTAATCTGATCTTATAATAGGTGAAAAGGTTGCCTAAGATTAGTAGACTTTTAAGTACTTATCCTTAAAAAACTCTTCAGCTGGTTTCGTTTACAAATAAAGCTCAAATATTAGGAAAAGTCTAATATAATTAGTAAAATTGCAATCTCAAAGCTATCAACTAACTAGCCGAAAATAAAAATTAAAATTTCAGATAACTTGGTTGGAATAAAATCGCAATCGACCTTGAGAACTTTAATTAGAAGTTTACAAATTATAACCATCATAGTATATTTTGCAATTGCTTATATTGTAATAAACTGCTAAATTTGGCCTTATACACAAAGACAGTTGCTGTATTATTTCGGATTAGCTTTTGTGTACATACATTTATGCAACACTTTAATTTTTAGAACTTTTCAAAAAAATAATTTGAAAAAAAAACAGTTTATTAGTTACACTGTGCCCATATACGTCCGTCCACTCGTCCGTCGGTTCGTATGAGTCTATTTAGAAAATTTCTACACCATTTGAGATAGAAAGCTGAAATTTAGATAAAAAAGTCTCAATAATAAAAACTCGTTTCTGTAGAAAAAAAATTTAACCTCTCCCCACTTTCAAAAAAAATATAGCCTTTCAAAGTCCTAAAAATGCCATTTTTTGTTTATTTATTGTTATGAAACCGCAATTTTTTAAATTTCGCAAATACAGAAAGATAGCAATATTCATCTTTTACCGCGACACAGCACGATGGAACACTGAAAGGACAACAAGGTCGTTAAAATTAACCGTTACTTAAGGATCGATTTTTTCCAAATTTTTTTTTTGGTATATGAATAAAAACAATTTAAATAACAAATGTCATAAAAGCAGTATTTTCACTTATTCAAGTGAAAAGTGCTTCTTTACAAACCATTAGTTTGACCCAACTTTATTTTTATTACAAATTAATTACTTAGGTATATGCATGGAACACGTGGAGTGAATTGATTTTGCAAGTCAAAGTTCGTATTCATATTAAGAGTTCGTTTGATTATTTAAAGTTTTTCCAATTGAAAAGGGTTTAGAACGTACTTAAATATCTATATGTATATTTAAATGTGCTTGAAGATTTATATGCTTGATAAATACGCTTGATATGCTTGATACGCTTTAGGGAAATTAGAGGATAAAAAATCGAAAACATAAATATGTAATAATTTAATGTAATAATAAAATTATATTTAATTTAAAAAATGAAAATATTACCATAATATACAACCAAAGGTTATCGAACCGAATCCAAGTACAAATCCAGATATTACAAGGTTCAAATAATGTTTCAGAATATCATAAATAATTTTTTTATCGCATATGCACTTAAGATTCATACCTATTCGTACCTAAAAATATTAGTTTTGCTAATTTAGCACATGTAAAAGCATTAATGTAGTAGTAAATAATATTATTAATTTAAATTACCAAAAGTATTGGAAAAAAAAGTTTGAAATTTGATAAAGCAACTGGTACAAGATCTGCTAATAATGATTTCAAACAAGAACTAGTTTCGGGATGAACAATTTGCAAACAAGTTGCTTGTCCAATATGTTGTTTTGCTAGTTTACTTAGTGAGGACATTTTTAAATTTTTATTTATTAATAAATATACAAATCGAACTATATGTATTTGCTACCAGAACTTAGTCTATATTTCTTTTATAAGTCTTTCTTTATCAAAATGTGCAAGCGAACTAAAACATGTAATTTGTATTGTGGATATTTTGAAACATATACGTATTATATTTGCAAATCAATTGATCAGTTTTTTTAGTATTGATTTCAATTTATACTTATCGAGTGTTTTACAAAACACATTTATAATGTAATGCATAAATTATATGTGTTGTTTATGTCTTTGAATAATTAGAATTTGATTTTTTAAACGATAGACTTAAACTTAACGTGACCATAACATCAAAATAAAAATATAAAATTTTTGATCATGCTGTGCTACTTTTGCTAATGTATTAAAATTGGTCTTTTCCAATAGATCTCAGGCTAGTAGAATTTGAATTTTTTGATATCTGTATTACATTTATGCAGAAAATTAAAGATTGTTTCAATTAATATATATATTTTTATAAATGCAGGAATTTACGAGTAATTGTTGCCATCTGGCTACATTGTGCACCTATGGATGGTATTGTTATTTGTTTAAAATGTTAACACATTATGAGCGGGTCGGGTACTAGTACCCGCTTGTGTGATTGTCACCTAGACCAATTTGTTACAATTTTTTAATTTGTTTGATGGGACTGATTGATAAAATATTTTGGAGATCCCCTTTAGTTTATTTTTTTATACACAAAGGTCTTATAATAATTGTAAAATAAATTATCTGGATGTATACATTGTATATTCGCCCCCTAGGTTACATTGTTGCCCATGCTAGGCCGCCGCTCATAATGTGTTAAGATAAAGATTTTTATCTTATACCATATTACAATAATTTATGAAAAAAAAATAATTTCTATTTTATAATTGAAAACTATCATATTTTGCAAATTATTTTAAATAGTTTGACTAATGTTTTAAGTTTAAAATTATTTTTTAATTCCAAGTTTTCATTTTAATTTATATTTATGTATGTTCGAAATAAAATATAGCATTGACACAAAAAAAATATTCAAAATTATCCGCTTGTAAAATTTTTAAAGTTCTGCATATATTACGAGAATGGATAAAGATTTTTAGCATTTTTTCAAAAAAATTTTGAAAAAAAGTGCTAATTAGTTTTACTCCGTCCCTGTCCCTGTTTACAAAACTTCTACACCCTTGAAGATAACATGGTGAAATTTTATATGTACAAAGATCTTTGCTAGAAACTTATTTCCGTAGAAGGAAATTTTTAACTATCTGCCCTCCTCAACATATGTATATATCCCCTCCCTTCCCCCCCCCCCCCCAAAAACCTAAAAATCCCATTTTTTAACTATTTATTGCAGTAAAATCATAAGCATTTTTGAAATTTTGTAAACGCAGAAAACCAGTGGCTTTAAAAAAAACAAAATGGTCGTTAAAATTTGCATTATCTAAAATCTATTTTTTCCAAATTTTTGAAGTCGTTTTTCTTCTAGACTCCAGCTTGTAACAGCTTTTCTGGAATTCGGAAATTTTAACTGCTTTTATACACAAATAAATAGTTCATTTGCTCAAGTTACCGTTTGTAAAATTTGAACTTTTGACGCCTTATATTTCCGAAACCGCAATCTTTTTCAAATTTATATAAATGCAAAAAGCTAACGGTAAATTCGATTATATTAAAAAATATGATTATTTTGCTTAACTCACGCAATTAACCCTTAAAATCGAGCATTGTGTTAATCGACTTTAAATGAATTTTTGCTTTATTTCAAAGACTGCATAAATCGTTAATCCTAAATATATGCAATCCTATAATTCTAATCCTATCGTATATAAGCGAAATAATTTGGTTAGGTTGTTTTCCAAAGCAGTATTTTCAAGTGTTGAAGGGAAAAGGCGCGGATTTGCTGAAATGGCAAAATATATTTTTAAGTTTGAATAAAAGTCCGAAGAATTAATATTTAATGCGTTTTTATTTTAAAGTAAATTAAAACAAATAATAAAAAAAAATAGAGAAAATAAAAAAAGTGAATTAATCAACTTCTTCAACAGTGGGTCCACTTCCCCCACTACCACCACCACCCCCTTGTTGCTGACCATGTCCATGCATTTTTGCCATAATTGGACCACATACCCTTTGACAGTCTTTCATATGATCTTCAAATTCCTCTTTTTCTGCTAAGCAATTCGCATCGAGCCATGACATCTCTGACGAGCATTTTTCTCTTACAGTTTGTTTATCAGCTTCCGACAGTTTACCGGATGGAGCATCCTCAACAGCCTGAATTTAATAAAAACGATTATAAAAATAAAATCTTTTGGAGTTAAACTGGATTTCTTACTTGTTTACAACTGAATATATATCCTTCTAAGGCATTGCGGGCAGCTATTCTTTGTTTTTGTTTTTCATCTTCCTCTTTGTATTTTTCGGCTTCAGATAACATACGATCAATTTCTGCTTTTGATAATCTACCTTTATCATTTGTAATTGTTATTTTCTCTTGTTTGCCCGTACTATTGTCCTTTGCAGAAACGTGCAGGATTCCGTCAGCATTTAAATCGAACGTAACTTCAATTTTAGGTACGCCTCTAGGTGCTGGGGGAATTCCAGTTAAATTGAATGTTCCTAGTAAGTTATTATCTTTGGTCATAGCACGTTCACCTTCATAAACCTGAATTGTAACAGCACTTTGATTGTCACTATATGTGGTAAATGTTTGTTGTTGTTTACATGGTATACGTGCATTACGTTCTATTAATTTTGTCATGACTCCTCCAGCTGTTTCAATACCTAACGACAATGGTGTGACATCTACTAAAAGGACATCTTGAATTTGGGAACTACCTTCACCAGTTAAAATGGCTGCTTGAACAGCAGCACCGTATGCAACAGCTTCATCGGGGTTAATTGATAAGTTCAATTGCTTGCCAGAAAAGAAATCCTGCAACATCTTTTGAATTTTTGGAATGCGTGTTGAACCACCAACTAAAACAACGTCATGAATTGAAGCTTTATCCATTTTAGCATCGGATAAAGAACGTTCAACGGGTTGTAATGTTGATCTAAAGAGATCCATATTTAATTCTTCAAAACGAGCTCTAGTTATTTTCGAATAAAAGTCGATACCCTCATGAAGAGCATCAATTTCTAAGGAAGCTTCTGTGCTAGATGACAGTGTACGTTTAGCACGTTCACAAGCTGTTCTCAAACGACGTAATGCTCGAACATTGCCTTTAAGATCCTTTTTATGCTTACGTTTGAATTCTTCGCAAAAGAAATTCACTAAACGATTATCAAAATCTTCGCCACCCAAATGAGTATCTCCGGCTGTTGATTTTACTTCAAAAAGTGAACCTTCATCGATAGTTAAAATTGACACATCAAAAGTTCCTCCACCTAGATCAAAAATCAAAACATTCTTTTCCCCTTTTAGATTCTTATCCAATCCATAAGCTAATGCAGCTGCTGTTGGTTCATTAATAATACGAAGAACATTAAGTCCAGCAATCGATCCGGCATCTTTTGTTGCTTGACGTTGTGAATCATTAAAATAAGCTGGAACTGTTATAACAGCATCAACAACTTTACCACCAAGAAATACCTCAGCGGTTTCTTTCATTTTAACGAGAACCATTGAACTTATTTCTTCAGGTGCAAATCGCTTGATTTCACCTTTAAATTCAACTTGTATTTTTGGTTTGCTGCAGTCATTAACAACAGTAAATGGCCAATGTTTCATATCATCTTGAATTTTCGGATCATCATATTTTCTACCTATGAGCCGTTTTGCATCAAACACAGTGTTCTTTGGATTCATGGCCACCTAAAATAATATTAATATTTGATTAATTATTTAATAAAATATTAATATTAATATTATATTATATTGCTTTTGAAATTTTTTAATGAAAAAATTAATTTGTAGTAATAAATAAGAAACCGCATCTTTAAATTCTAAAATTATAGAAAACAATTTTTTATGAATTTGAATGAAATATTTCAAAGAAATATTATAAGTAAGGAAAATTCAAGTTTTTGGGCCGTTTATAAATGTAAGATAAACGGCCTAAGAAACTTAAATCAAACATAATAATATGACAATTAAGATTAAGTTGTTAAGTATCAAAAACTTTGTCTATATGATAAAGATTATATTTTAACAAAAAATTTCTAATTAAGTTTTTCTCTCAAAACTCAAAAAAAGTCAATATATTTCTAAGGGTTCTTTGCTCTCAATTTTTAATATAAAGTTTAGGTTGTGTGCAATTTTCATTTGCTGTATTTATTTTATTTATTTAGATAAAAATAATTTAAGAAATAATAAAAATTTTTCTTTTCTCTTTTTTTGAAGGCATTCAGAATGTTAAAAAGAAAAAAAAAACAAAAATTTTCCATTTAAATTGAAAAAATTTAAAATTAGAATTTCTAATTATAGGATTTATGACGATATGTTAGTATGTACGTATGAGAATAATTGTTGATAGCCAAAAATATTAAATGTTTTTATCTTTTTACTTTAAATGGCTGAGAATTTTAAATATAAAAATTCAAAAAAAAAAAAATAATTTATTAAATTAAGACGTTAAAAGATCTTTTAAAATTCCATATAAATAATGAAATTCCAAAATCTACTCTAAAGACTACAAAATTTCAACAGATATGGTGCTTTTCTAATATTTTAAAAATGAAAAATAATTTTTTTCATTTTTTTAAATTGCATCAAAATGAAATGTTTAAAATTATTTTCCTAAAAATTAATAATGAGCAATAAAATCGATTTTCACGTATTTACTAAAATATTACAAGGTGATTATGGTAATTAGGCCTTTTATAATTTAATCAAACGTGATTTAAGTATTTTTTTGTTAATAAAATGAATATATGTGTATAAAAGTATAATATTTTTAAGATTATATTTCTGAATTATAGTAAAAGCAAAATAAAAATAGCGATTTCACACCTTTAATTGAAAATAATAAATTCACTTGTACGATTGGTTCAGATATTTTCAATATTATTTTGGATTTTTCTATTTTTGATAATAAAACAGTTTGTGTATATGCTGTCATTTTGGTATGGTACCAATTTTTTGGTATTTAGTATTTTTTTTTTATTGAAAATAGTAACACATTAAAAATTTTATCAGGCCAACTCAATATCGACTCCTTTGTATATACATATGCATATTAATTGTTTCTTTATGGCTTATAATGTTAATTTCATCTGTTGAAAAATTCCAGTTATTGGCATTTGATACTTAAGTATATTATCTGACAGCAACAATGGGCGAATATATAAAATTTGTATATTAATAGAAAAATGTAAAATCGTCTCTTATTAAAAATTTAACAATCAGTCATATGACCAAAACTAAACCGACATTCATGTATAAAAATACACAAACTGAAAGGTCAACAATTTACCAACAATTTAGCTTCTCTATCATGGAGAAATACATTTTCGTTGAAAACGCGACATATTGAATTTGATGCCATCATAATACCTCTCTTATTTTATTTAATGCGTTTGGTAAAAACTCATTAAAATAAACTAAAAAAAAAAGCATTTAAAGTAGTATTGATACCAAACAGTGACTTTCAACAAATAGTGGGTCTGGAATCTAAATTAGTAAGTTTTAAAGCAAGGGACATTGGATTTTTTCACATTCAATTTGAATTGCGTATATAAATGCGAGTGAATAAGATATTTTTTGTAGCCATTAAACTAATTAATACTTCATATGTTTCATATGATGTGATATAAATCGTCAATAATTTTTAATGTGGCGATGAATTTATTAATTCTAATAGTTTGTAAAACACTGTAGTTAATAAAAGTGGTCATCGTAAAATTTATTCGTAGTGAACACAATTACATACATATATTTGTACTCGCATACATAATATGTACATTTTAAATTTCAAAAAAGGAAAGAACGACATTTTCAAAACTAATTTTATTAGAGTTTGGCCAACAATCTTGTATCTACTACTTGTATACTTACAATATAAAAATAATAGTTAAAAAAACTACAAATCAGATCAAATAACATACTTTATTATTATTGCTTATTATTGTAATATAAATTTGTATTTTTAGGAAACACATGTTATTACTGAGTTTTTTTTTTCAGTGACGGATAGTAAACATAAATCATGAGTGAATCAATTCAAATTGATTTTTGTTCACATTTCATTGAATTTTGCTTAAGTTAGTCTTTCTTAAAAATATTGAAAAAAAAATTTAAAGTTTTACTAAAACAAATGGTTATATGGCAATAATGATGTAGGATATAATATATGTGTTGTATATATATATAGGTGCTACATATTATGTGTATACCTATAAATTATTATAATATGTAGTTTGTGGGTAACTTAAAATCATATGCTTCTCAAAAAAGACACAGCTAATTGAATTGGTTGTTTGTAAAAAAAAAATAAATATGTGTGTATATAAAAAATTCGATATTATTTGGCCAAATATGTATTTAACAACTAATATGAGCTCATACAGCACTTTTAATAATTATAAACTAAATATGGAAATTGACAAACTATAGAGTGTTGTCAAAAACTTATAAGTTTTTTATTGACTCAAATATAATAGAAATCTTTTGGGAATTTTTATATTATTTGTAATAAAAAATGCATTAATTGCATCATAACTATGCCTATTAAGGAATTTTTGAATGTTTCACATTATAATAAAAACCATTATTGAAAGATGCTTCTATTTAAAAACTATTTTCATTTAATATTTAATTAAAAGTTATTTATACATTAAGTAATTATAACTAATTATATTTTTTCAATTAAATTTATAAATATAGACAGACGGTATAAATTTTTGATTGACAGCTTTCGAATTTTTGGCAAAATGTCGTAATATGACATTTATATTAAATATCGGAAAAAAAAAACAAGCTATCAAACACGTTATTGAAAATATAATTTTGCTTTGGAGCATGTATACACACGTCAACTACTGCTATGCATGCGAATGGGATTTTAAAAAATTTTAAGCGTTTTTGGAATTTAATATAATTTCATTGTATATATGGATGTGTATTTAAATTGGAAATAAATAATGTTAAATATTTAGAAAATTATAGATTTGATATTTTATTGTACTTTTAATTTAATATTTCTGAGCATATTTTGCATTACTTTAGTTTATGTTTAAAGAACTAAGTTGAGATTTCGAATAGTGTAGAACAAGAAGTGAAGGTGTTACATTTAATTCAAATCATATAATATTTTTCATAAATGCTTTTTTATAAATTTATTTTGAAAGGTCATTTGCATTGCACATTTATTTGAATCAAAGTTGAGCTTGCTATTTCAGCAGCCCTAGACTAATAGTTTTTGAAGAAAAAATATTGGCTGATAGTTCTTAAGCCAATATTGCAACTTTGTACGATTAGTTTCAATTAAAATGGGCCAATCCTACTATATTAATCTGCGAGCAGTGAAAATATACAAGAATTTACATATATACATATATGTATATTTTATGGGGTCGCGAATATTTTCTTCTTGTTGTTACATACATTTTGCGTAACTGAATATATCGCCTTTACATACAAATATACTTGTCTGTATAGGTATAAAAAACTCATTCGTCTCTATCATGTTATTTCTCCATTTTTACCGACCGTATTGTGTAAACAATAGGTAGGTTATGTGATGGCAACAAATTTTGCATATCGAGTTTTCGGTGGGAACGTACTTCTCCATAGTAGGGAAGTGTAAATAAACTATTTTTAGCAACCTGTCGGTCTGTCCGTCTGTCGGTCTGTCGGTCTGTCGGTCTGTCGGTCTGTGTGTGCACGCGTATATCTCAAGTTCGGCTGAACCGATTTTGATGAAATTTTATATGTAAGTTTGTTTCCACCATGGCACGGATCGATCAACTTTTGGTATATATCAGGCCTCGGGAACTAAACTTTTTAGCGGGCCTGTTTTACATTTTTCACCATTTTGAAGAAAGTATTCAACCGATTTACTTGAAATTTCATTTATAAGCTTTGCTCGATCATACGCAAAAATTCCTAACTTTTGGAAGAAATCAGGTATCAGCAACTGGGCGTTTACTACGGGCCAAATATACATTTTTGTGTATATAAAGAGAAATAATCAACCGATTTCATTGCAATTTAATATATGAATTCCCCGTATTAAAACAATGAACATATAACTTTTTTGGAAAGATCAGGGCTCCAGAACTGATTTGCGGGCCGATTTTACATTTTTCACCATATCCACAGAACAAATTGATGGAATTTCTTGAAATTTGATATTTGAGTTCTGGTTGTTACCGAAACTAACTGGCGAGCATTTCAGGGAATTCGGGTAGCACAAAGCGAAACTCTACTAAGAGCCAAATTTACATTTTTCTGGGTATGTTAACTATAAGCTTACTAATGTCTTAAAAATTGGAAAGAAGTATTTAACAGACATTTTTATAATAATCTGTAACACTTTTATTTAACTAGACAATACACAATGCGGTCGGTTATGTGCTGACCACATCAGATTTTTTATATTATGACACTGCTGAACCTATTTACTACTTTCCAAATTTTCGAAAGAACCACTGTGTGAGTTGATTTTTCAACATAAATCAAAATGGCTAAGCACAGTTTAAATAGATTAATTAATATATGCAATTTCAAAGTTATGAATTTAGTTCAAAGAAAGCATTTGTATTGAGATATAAGCTTTGAAAAACACTTGCATTCAATTATCTTATAGGTTCAATTCTAAATTATTCATTTCTATTCAAAATGTCAAAGCAATTCCTTTTATATATAAATTACAATTATAATGAACAATTCTCCACAATATTATATTTAATATATAATTATCTAAAAAAAAAAAACAGTAGGTCTATTCTTATAATCTGTACCTATCTTATATTAGAATACTATCATGTACAAGTATACTTATATGTAATGTCCAATATGAGAAATATTTTAACCTTGTAGTACAAAACATTTTATACCTTAGAATAAACATATAATAATTAACGTTTTTTGAAAATTCATACCTGATTTTTGGCTGCATCACCTATCAATCTTTCCGTATCATTAAAAGCAACATAACTGGGAGTTGTACGATTTCCTTGATCATTAGCAATTATCTCAACTTTACCATGTTGCCAAACACCAACGCATGAATATGTTGTACCTAAATCAATGCCAATTGCTGGAACTTTACCCATTTTATAATTTTTCGTTTATAAATTAATTAACAAATATGTATATATATGTATATAGGTATATTATATAGATGTTTAGTTTTAGTAATAATTAGAATTAAGTATAGCTTATAGATTTTTGTAATAAAGTGTTCACATATGCTTTTTATTAAAAAAAATTTATTTCAAGTTTTATTGTTTGTTTTGATTGATTTGATCACACACACGATAGAGCAATTTATATAATCAGTTAGGGAAAAATCATAGAGCGCAATATATTTATTTGAAATTGTTCTATTTTGACTACAAATTTATACTAAAAATGGATTGAAAATTAAATTTCAAACTTTTTTATTATTTTTGTGACGTTTTCTTTTCTGTTTTTGTTGTGATATTCAAAAATAAATTTGAAATTGCTTCCTATGATTTTGTTGTGTTGTTATTTAAATGCACTGAAAATATTGAACTTTTTGTACAGTGAAAATTTTCTAGGAGATGGTTTTAGAATTTTCCACGATCTGCTTGCAATGAGTTGAAAATATGGACTAAAATAATTTTTATTATAATCGTGTATTTATTTTCAATTTCAACAGAAGAAAAAAAATTTTCAATTTTAAGTAAAATGTTGTGGTTGTTGTTGTTATTGTTGTCGTCGCTAAAAGTTCTATATGATCATTTATTATTTTATTTTTTTTCTCACTTGTTTATTCCAAAAAATACATTAAGTGGGAGGATTTCATCTTACTACAAGTTGTATGAAGATTATATGAATTTTTTTTTATTCTCGAACACATTTCATATAGAAAATATGAAAATTTTCTTGAAATTTCTATTTCACATTATGCTTACAAATTTTACTTAATGTTAATGCTATTAATCAAAGAGGACGATTGACTCACTTTTCATTTTAGATTTTCTTTATTTTCTTTTTTAATTAATAAATAGGCATGCATACTATGTAGTATACAAAACACCTGACTTGTGAATCTTTAACAAAATTATATTTAGATTATTAAAGTATGGACTATTTTTGAAATTATTGTGCTTATTGTGTTTTGAAAATGTTGTAGCTTTTAATGTTTTGTGTTCATACTTATTATAAAATAGTTGGTATACACATGCATTCATACTATTATATTTTTAATAATCGCATGGCATGCAATAAGGTAGGCATTGTGAAGACATGTTGATGAGTGTGCGGGCCTGTTTGTGTCACTTATGTTTCTTAATTTTTGTGGGGTAATGTTGAAAAAAATTTATACTTTAGTTTAATTTTTCGTGAGGCGGATTAACTTTTTTTTTGGAAAATGTTCCGTTTGAGTAGTCGGATCTTTTTTACGGGCCTATTTTACATTTTCCTCAGATCATACAAATATTTATAAAGGAATTAGGGAACTCCTTTTGATGAATTTCTTTGAAATAAATTTGAATATTTAAACTTTGTTTGCTGAAGCAAGTTACTAATGAATTTGGGCTGATTTCGCATTTGGATCCTATTTAAGAAATTAAATAACGAGATATATCAAAGAAACTAACCAAATTTTCTATTTGGGAGATATATGAGCAAGGTTGCTAATTCTTTTCTTAGAATTTAGATTAAATTAGTATTTAAAGTATATTTTCATAATCTTTTGCAAAGCATTAACTATTATAAACTGATTTATTGAAATTTATATTATTTAGAAAATATTCGCTGTTCGGATATGTGTTAATGACATCAGATTTTTTTTTATATATATGCATACATAATGTGTATTTTGAATTACTTCAAATGTATGCACTTGTTAGATCTTTCTTTGTGTGAAGATAAATGCTCTAAAAGTTTATTCTTTCGAAAAAGTTTTTTTAATTTTTAAAAGTTTTGGTTCTTGTTTTTATTTTAGAGATGAAATTTAGTGATTCCATTCTAGAACCCAAAATGCAATGTATAAATTTATATGCTCTAGACACACGCATATACTAATTTCCACATGGTAAATAAGAAAAATGAGAAAAAGTTTTTCTTTTGATTATAAATAAAATTTTGTAATTATCAATTAAAATTTTTTATGAAATAATGTGCATATCTAAATAGAAGGTTAAATTTGGTATGTTCGTGTACGTTATGTACATATTTGATTGTGCTATAACACTGAGGAATTGCGTAGGGGCTAGATATTTATGATTTCTAAAAAAAAATTTTCGAAAAAATTTTCTTGATTGTTTCCAACTTGAAATAATAAATTAAATAAATAATTTTTGGAAAATTCTACTTAAATGCAAAAAGGAAATTTTAGTAATTAAATTATTTTTTTCGTAAAAATTATAGTAAAGTGATAAAATTTTTCAGGTATTTGAATTTTGTGATTGATATTTTCTACAAAATGTCGTATATATGTCTTGATGTTCTGAGTTATGACACATTGAGATTTTTATGAAGGACTAAAACGATAAAGTATAGGTGATAGAGAGTACTTTATATGATTTATTTGCGGAAAATATGTAAAAGAGAAGAGCTGCTTTTTGTATATCATAAGTGTGTATGTATTATGTTTTGTGAATCATTTTTTGTGTTCCTATCTTTAAAAGTTTTAAAAATTTACATTTTAGAATCTTAGTTACATAATAGATATTTGCATACCTTCATATATTGTTAACTGGTTTTTTATCAAAAATTTTCCTTGAATTTGAAATAAATTTCCTTGAATCAAATCAATGGTTGTAAAGTTTCTCACCTTTATATATCCAGATTGATATATTTTCGATTAGATTGAAAAACTTAAATCTGTTATATCATTTTAGTATGACGTATTAACATTATTAGGATAAAAGCAAGTAAAACAGTAAAAAAAAAGTAAACTAAAATTCCAAAATTTAGTTTGTGTTTTACAATATAAATTTATTACTTAGTATGTATATATTATACTTAGTATGCCTTAGTATGTATATATTAGACTTAGTATGTATATATATTCTTTTTCTTAAATACAATTTTCTATTTTTGATTGATAAAAAAATATTGACATTTTACAACTACCTTATATGAGAATATTAAAAATTATTTTAAATAACGTTTTATTTATATGTTCGAAAACATTGTAAGCCTTATATATAGCTAATATAAAATATTTACATATTTTCAATGTTAATTAATATGGCACACAGTTTATATGCTTTTCCAAATTTTGTAATAATATCGGCATCTTAGCATACAATTTTCATATATGATATTGATCCGGTTAAGTACTTAACCTAAAGTAGGTCTATATAAGTTAAGTACAAAATCTATAGTAAGTTTTGAAAAAATTTATTTAAAATAATTCTGATATCACGAAATACTATTAAGATACTATATGGCTCAAGCTTCCGAAATACTTTCTTGTAAAACTAAATTTAGATTATAAGCCTGCAGTAAACGTACTTTTCAAAAATTTTCTTTCAGATATTTTGCATAATTTTATAAATTACAGTTTAATTTCATTAATGTAAGAAATTTTCATTAACATAAAAAAGGAATATTAAAAAAAAACATTAATAACTAATCTTTTAATGAATATCAAATTTCGGCATGAAATTATTAATGTTAGCGCCTCATTAAATTAGTACATAACACATTGCATTGTGAATTTTTCAAATATTATTATAAATTGATACGAATATAATTTCCTGAAAAGTTTGTCAGTGAATTTCATTGTTAAACAGAACTTAGATATTGAATTTCAAGAAACTTCATTTTAATCATGTCCTTAGATACGTTATAAATTGGCTTTTTATGAGTGCTCACTGACGAATTAGATACTTCATTGTTTGAAAAACCACAAAATTTCTTAAATATTTTCATACAAAATGTAATATCAATTCATAGTAAAGGTCCAATTGTTAAGGCTTTGTACATCCAAAGAGTCGATCAACCCGTTAGAAATCCAAATTAAATTCAAACAAAAATTTTCATCAGAGTCGGTTGAGCTGTAATTGAGATACACGAAGTGCACACATATCATAGGACGGAAAATCTTCCTTGTTGTATGGAATGCGGTCGGTTGTAATTAGAACTGTTGAATAGTTAAAATTAGTTTTAACTAAAAATTAATTATTACTAAGCTTTTACTTTCTCTTACTTTTCTTAGACGCGATACTAGATGTCTCATTATCACTAATCTTAGTAGTATATGTATTTATATTAGAGACCTATATTTGTTCCAATATCTAATATGAGTTCAAATATTTTATGAGATGAATAATCCAATGAAAACTCTTAACAAGAGTAAATTAATTGGGTATTAGATTATTTCGAATTCTTAGCGAAAGTGATTGGCCCAGGCATTAGTTTGAACTAAAATATATAAAGTTCATTATTTAATATTTCATTGTTTAAAAGTATTAATAACCATATTTAGAACAAAAATGTTAATGAAAGTAAATTTATGTACATACACTTATATGTATATACACATGTTATGTACATAATTTAAATTTTCAATTTTCTTTTTACTCCATCTTAGAAACGTAAATTATTTTTAAAATGGCATGAATAAAATTTTAAAATTTATTAATAGAGTTTTCTATTCGAAGTTAAATTTAGTAATTTCGCTGAATGTAAAAATTTATAAGTATTAAATTGAATTTTGTATAACAATATTACCTACATTATAGGTATAATTTATACACATGTAAGTACATAACTGTACTTGCTTTCATTTTCAAATTAATTTTCAATTTGTCTATTCTTTTAAAAGCTTTATAGATTTTATGTTTCTCTCCACAAAAAATAGAATTTACTAGAAAACTCTTTCAGATTTATTTTGTATGTATGTACTTATATGCGTATGTTATATGTATGTATATGTATAAAGATATCATGCGCTGAGAGAAAATCTTCAGAGATAAAAGCTTTCACTTTGACGTTATTCTATATGTATAATATTATTTCATTTACCCGATAAAATAAATTGACAATTTTATGAATAATCGTCGTTAGATCAACGGCATTAGATCAACAAAAACAATTATCTTTTGCCTTTCTTCTTCTTCTTTTGTGCTTCAGGCCATGCAAAACCACGTGACTTTAAAACATCCTGTAAAACAAAAACAAATTTAATGTATAATAGTTAATTATATTGAGTATTAATTTAATAAATTTGAAATAAATGTAATTATTTAATACAATTCATGTTAGTTAAGTGCATATTTTGTATCATGTGATAATTTCGTATAGGTGTCTAGTAATGTAACTATAAGAAAATAAATACATACATACATATGTATGCATCTGTATCTTTTAATACAAAAAAAATATAAAATGCTTTTCATATTATTTTATTGAAAAATATGAAATGAGAACTCGAATATTAGTTGAAGGAGTGTCATAATGTCAAGCTAAGTATGAAGATTCACATGAAGAATATATACTTATTTCAGTTTTTAAAAGGGGGTTTCAATAATATAGATGAGGGTTGTGAAACATGCTCAGAAATTTCCCCAATTTAAATAATGTTATATTATCATATTTATATTTTTGCAAATTAAAATAAAAAATTTCTAATTTTCAGTATCTGTAAGTTGCAAAACGAATTTAACTAAAACTATTAGATGAAGTATACTGTTACTGTTCTTATTGTTTACTAACTTGCACATTATGGCAGCAATAGTAAGCATTATCCATTGCTGCATCATTAAATATATCACATTGAAATGATTTGCCTTTTGCTGCACCACCTTTTTTCTTTCCTTTTTTTTTAGTACCGCCAGCACCACCAGTTTCACCACCATTAGCTTCGCCACCCTCATTTTCTTCACCATTACCTTCTCCACTTTTTGCTCCATCACTTGCAACAGCGGTAACAGTAGCAGCTGCCGCTCCATTAGCATCTTTACTATTACGTTTCTTTTTTTTGGGGGGCATAATTTAGTGCATAAATGCTTTTGACTTACGCAATTTTAATCAAATTAGATACCATAAAGCGTTTTCATGTACAATTTATACACAATATTAATGAATTATTTAATTTATAACTTCTTTCTTTGTTTTTCAATAAAAATAATTGCAATATTTAATTTTAAATTATTAGAATGTTATGGTATAACAGAAATAAATTGAAACAGTTAAATTTGTTTATATTTTTTTTTAAATGCTTTTTCTACACTTATAACAATTTTTGTGTATTAAATATTGATTAAATGAAAAATAAAAAAAAAAACTTTCGTTGCTATGAAATGAATCGATTTGCTAAGAGACGTTCCATATAACTTAATATGGAATTGCTACGGCATTTGTGCAGCAATAATACACTTATGGATTCATTTCACTGTCAGTGTGAATTTTTTTCTATTATATTGTTGCCATTCATTGTGAAAAACAACAAACAAAGTAAAACGCTAATAAAGTTTTTCAAGCAAATTTTATTTTGCTTTTCATTAATTTTATAGCTATGAATAGTCTTTTCATGTATACATATGCAAAAGTGTCAATAAATTTTGCTTCGCTGGGAATAACTGTAAAATAAATGCTTGAAAATAAATACAAACTATAAATTTTGACTCTTGATCTTCAATTTATTATTTGAAATTTTATTTTAAACAAAAAACAATTATTTGTGATGCAATTATCTTACGCTACTATACGAGCTGTTAATTGAGCCGTAGAAAACACTGGGTCAAACATGATAGCTTTTATACAAGTTAGTTTTAAAAAAAATTTGTTTGAAATAGAAAGAGAATGAAAGTTTTCACTTTTCTTTTATAAGAAAATTTAAAACATTAGCGAATTTCTAGTAGATAAAGTTTTTCTGTACTGGATAATTTGACATTGTGTTTTAACATTCCTAAAATAAAAAATATTTTGTAATAAAACGGATCTGACTCGGCTTTAACGAATTTAGGTTACTGGTTATTTATTTAGGTTGCTTGTTAATGGTTTTAAATGCAAAAACTTATGACCTTCAGAGTATACTGTACGTAATCAGTGCTTTGAAATTAATTAAAAATTTCAGAAAATTTAATTTAGGGAGGAGAACTTTTCAAGTGTGCTTGAATGCTTCAAATTTTCGTTAAAATGGTAATTTTTTTGTTAAGTAAAAAACATATTTATTAAATTTGCTATTAAAAACTAGTTAACAAGAATAATTACATAATATGGAACTTATAACCATATTTCAATATAAATGTATAGACAAAAATTATAATATTGAACTAAACTATATTCTTATACCGCCTATTTTGATGGTGGAAGGTATTCTTGGTTAATAGAATTACTTTGCGTAGGTGGTAAATATAATTGTTCAGTACGTTGTTGGACTGGTGGCAAATATTCATTTTCCGGTGTTTCAGATATGTTAGGTGGTAATAATCCAATAACAGAGGAAATCTGTGGAACTCCTTCATTTGAGTATTGAGTTGAATCACTTAAACCATGATAATGAGCTGAAAAGTATTTAAATTATTATTAAAATCTAGAGAAATTAAATAATATTTGATGTAATACTTTGAATTTGATGTTTAGCGTGTTCGGCTTCATCTTCAGTCTTGTATCTTATAAAATGAACTTCTGGTCTTGATGTTGTTGTTGGTAAATATTGAAGAGCATCCCGAATGTCGCCTACATCAGTTTTCTTTGTTAAAACGTAAACAACTGTCTTCTGTTGGTTTTGATGTTGTGTATGAGCTAATCTTAAAGTTTTCTTACTAATTTGGCTAGGTGCTTTAATAAATAGAATTTTATAATGAGTACGTCCTGGGGTATTATCTGCTTCATCTTCCATTGTATCATCATCTAATTCTGCTGGAGCATCATACGAGTAAATATTAGTTATTACAGACTTAGTTGGTTTTGTACTGGGTGGAAGATAAACTTTGGGTACTCGAGGCTTTGGAGTTATGTTAACCATAGGAACCGGGGGAGATAAACCAGTTGTTGAAACTACAGATATTGAGGGTGGAGTTGTAGAAATTGTTGTTAATAAACTGGGTAGATATTTGATAGTAGGTTGAACATTTTCTTGTTTTGCAGGATACGGGGGCACCACAGCATTTTGAACAGCTTCTTGATTGTTGTTATTGTACGTTTGGGAAGAAACAGTTGAAGGTGTTATTGATTGGTATTGTTGAGGAGATGGAGTCACTTGTTGATATTGTTGATTTTGGTAAATTGATTGCAAATGATTGTATGTCTGAGGTGGAATATTATATGAGGAAACAAAATTTTGTTGCTGCGGTTGATTATATTGTATTGAATCTTGTTGATATGGTCTTGAATATTGATTTGAACTATATTGTGGTTGCTGTTGTTGTACATGTGGTTGGTTATACAATAGATGAGGTACATGATTAATTTGTTTTTCGTTTTCTAAAGCTGTTTGAAGAACATTGTTATGTTGTTGTTGTTGTTGTTGTACATTATTTAAATTTTGATATGTTTGGGGTACTGCATACTGATAATTTTCAGATCGAATACTATTTTCACTCTCTTGATCTTGAATTTGAGTTCCGCTAGTTGATGATAATATTTGTTGTTCTGAATTACTTTGTACTAGTGTGTCTGATGAATTTTCATCATCAATTTCACCTTTTAACATGTTATTGATAGCTTCTCCAACATCCCTTGCTTGTCTTGCAGTAAATGGTTCTGGTGACATAACATAAGGAAATTTTCTTAAGAAATATTCATCATTTTCCAAAGAATTCGAGAGTATGGGGTTTAATAAGAATATAGCTAACCAAATGATGTTGCTAAGTTTTATCTATAAAAGACAAAATATTTATATATTAAAGTGTTTGTACAGTAGTAGTGCGTTTATTGGAAAAGAAAGATGTTATGCTTTTAAAATAGCGAACAGAACTTAATAGCCATATAACTGCGACGATTCTAAAATTTTAGGATTGTTATTGTTGCTCTTGTTTGCTTATAGTGGCAAGCAATATTTATTTTCCGTATATTTTTTGTCTCTGATCCAATTAAGTTATAAGCAAATGCTTTTTAACTATTTGCTATCTTTAAGTTTTAATCCTTTTGATTGTTGGAAAAATATTGCGATATTCTGTGATCTAAGACGAATTGACAAAATTTTTGCAATTTTACATAACGAGTGTGCCAGTGGAACACGAATATCCTTAGATTCTCATTCCGCTATAATACTTCCAATGTAATCCACTTAAATTTTTTTAGTAACCTTTTCTACTATGAACTTATATTACATCTAATTTAATTAAATACATTATTTATTTTAATATTATAAAATGCAATTACCAATACAAATTTTGTCATATTTTTAAAATAATTTAAAAGAAAATATGATTACAAGTTCACACACGAGATGATATCAAGTAAATAACTGCTCTAGTTACACATCATATCATTTTTATATACAAGATGAGATAGAAAAACTACTTTATTCAGTTTTAACTCTTGGGATTGAACCGATTGATCTACATTATATCAATATAAATTTTAAAATTCATTCAAATTTTAATAAAAGATTTATACTATGCACTTATGTGTTAATAGTTTGTAATTTCTATATAAATTGATATCTTTAATATCTTGAATTCATCATTGGTTTCAGCTTTTCTTTATATACATACATATATCACATTTATTTGTTTAAAAAGAAATATTGGAAAACTTTAAAAAATCAACGCAATTATCTCTTCAATAAAATAATTTTGTAAGATATCAAGATGAGATTCAATGTAAATAATTAAAACATAATTATATTATAATAGTGAGTATTCATTAAACAAAATTTCTTTCAATATCTAATGATATAAGGCGCATATTTTCAATAAAATGATATTATAATTCGATAGTTTATGAATCAATTAAAACAACTAAAATATTAAGGTGATAGAGTACGATAACATATAGAAAATATATAGTATAATAGAAATCGGCAGTGTTACAAAAACTACAGAGTCAAAAGAAAAAACAATAACCAATAGAAATTTTATTATTTTAAAAGTGTGAAAATTTCATATGAGCTTATAGTTATGGAGCTTTGTGTTAAGAGATGAGCAAAATATTATATATGAATTTTCAAGTTTGGATGAAACAATATGCATTCAATTTATACGTTAATAATTAAATCTATTCTTAAGTTATATCATGTCTTTGAGGATTAATTTTAAATTATAAATCATCTAACGTAATATGAACGTTTCATCCGATTTGTTTGGCACTGAAAGAAATCGATTTTCTTCAGTACAATAACCTTTAATGTATTCCATTACAAACTTAGACTTAATTTGCATTATAATAAAAAAAATTGTAATTTCGATATTCAGTGTGTATTTTAAAATTTATGATTAAATAGTGTAAAAATTGCAATGCAACTGACTATAATAGTTGACCACATTTTGTACTTTTTATTTTTTTTTAGGTGCAGTACATATGTTTTTTAACAATCTACATACTTCGCTTTCAAGTACAGATTGTTTTTATAAAACAATAATTTTTATATTTTCCAGGGCTTATAATGATTTTCTCAAAAATCATGAAATATGCCATTTTTGGCGATTAAGCATTTAGAAAATATGCGAATGAGTTGTTACAAAGTGCTATGCATATGAGCCTTAAAACTATGTGTGAATTTCTTAATCAAAATTTTTCGTAAGATATTTAATATGTGTTGTTGGTGCCCAAAAATGTCAAGTAAAATAAAAGTTACATGCAACATATTTTATGTAGCTAGTGTTTCTTACGATTTCTCAAAAGTTTGAGGACAGAATCGAATAATATTTTGTTTGCTATTAAAACAAATTATATTGATAAATAATTTAGAATTAAATTTTGTTTGACAAGTATAATAACATAAAAGGTTACACGCTTTGGGTTTTACATTTCCATTATATTATTAAATAATTAAAGTAATTTGAATATGAATTAACTAAATGAACTTGTTAATTTTTTTT